ATATTTTAGGGAGCCCAATGACCCGGCCCACCACGCCGCTACAAGTCTGGACATTTTAGTGAGCATGACTACTCAAAACACTAGACCACGTCAAAGAAAACGTATAAGAAAATGTCGGCGCAACAAGTACCCATAAAATAACGGTACCTACTGACCTGCAATCCAATCCAGAGCACTGTTAAAGAACACGCACATTGGGTCCAGGCAGAAGACCTCCGGATGGCAGGAAAACAGAGACAGTCTTTTGCGGAATATAACGAACTCCACTCGCGAAATAGTTTGTATTAACAGTAGACACAGATGGTATCTTTGTCATGGAGTAATTTTACAGAACTGTTCTATAACGCGTGTAGGACTAAATAATTATTGAATGTAGAAAAAGCAGAGCAATATCTAATTCTTATGACATTTCTTATTTATAAAATAAGATGGCGAGCGTTCTTTTTATTTTTTCTTCTTTTTTATTTAAAAAATGTACGATTTATTAGCGGCCAAGTTATTAAAGTTATGTAATATTATGTTCTTTGTTGAAATATAACCAGACCACTATCATCACACCATCTCGACAGAAATATTCGGCTAATAGGTGACCGAGAGATTATAGGTATCGGACAGCCTCGGTGGTCTAGTGGTTTAGCACACCGCTTTACTATCCGATGGTCGTGGGTTCGATTCCTCGCACGGTACAAACATTTGTATTCATGAGTATGATTGTTTTCTATGTATAATATGTATTTATTTAAAAAAAATGTGTCCATGTATTTATATCAGTTGTCTAGTACCCATAACACAAGCTCTGCTTAGCTTGGGACTAGATGGCGCTGTGTGAATTGTCCTGAAATATTATTATATTATATTATTATTATAGGTATCTTAAAACTATCAGTCGAATAAACTATAAATATATATATATATATGTAGAATATAACAAACGTCTTAACCACCCCAACATACACCCATGAGATGAAACCTGACCGACATAATGGAATAAAAAAAACTCTGTGTCGATTTACATTTCTAACTCTCCGGCGAGGGGGGAAGGGGATTGTTAGCAATGTGGACTAATGATCCCATTGCTAGCAATGTACCATGTTAGGTCGACCTCCACGCGGTTCCCCCTGGAAATCATTGATAAATTCCTGGTGAATTCACCACTATGAGCTAACTGACCTGACTTCATACTCATCATCATCCTCCTCTGGTGCCCCACAGCTTAAATCATTAGCGCAGGCTGGTGCGCCATTCCATTATCATCTATAAAAGAACTATCCGGCGATAAGGGAAGTGATTGTTAGTAATGTGGACCGATGACCTCATTGCTAGCAATATACCTCAACACAGTTCCCCCTGGAAACCATCATGATAAATAAGATCTGAGTTTCTTGTTAGTTCTTCAGGGCTCAAAAGCACTTCGAACTGACGGTAGATGTGACATATCATAAGTCTGTAATAGACCTACACGAATAAAGATGTTTTGATTTAAGATATCTTTATCTGTAAAAAATAAAAGATACCTTGAAAATATAAAAGCATTTTTATTTTCAATACAAAATTAATCTTACTGGCATTAATATAAAGTTATTTATTACATGGTACGCAAATTCAACATGAAAACCGTAAGACTGAAAATCTGCAATAAAGTAAAAATAATCTACACTTGATTATAAAAAAATGTAAATAAATGGCTTATCAATTAAAGTTAATTGATAAGCCATTTATTTAGTTAATGATAAGCATTTATTTAGTTAATTGATAAGCCATTTATTTAGTTAATGATAAGCCATTTATTTAGTTAATTGATAAGCCATTTATTTAGTTAATTGATAAGCCATTTATTTAGTTAATTGATAAGCCATTTATTTAGTTAATTGATAAGCCATTTATTTAGTTAATTGATAAGCCATTTATTTAGTTAATTGATAAGCCATTTATTTATCACTATCTACGCGCCCCAGCTTCACACGGGTGTACATGTATTATACATATAAACCTTCCTCTTGAATCACTCTGTCTATTGCTAAAACAGCATTAAAATCCGCTGCGTAGTTTAAAAGACCTAAGCAACATGAACCGAGTTGATGAGTTGATATAGTTTATGATGAGTGTTTGTTACGAAATGAGTGCATTCTCGTAAACAAGCGTTTACAAGTTATATTCAGAACATGAATTGAATTAGTAATGAAATGTGTTTGTTACCAATTTAATTTGTGACAAATTACATTTATGATTTCTATTTGTGACAAAAAGCTTTAGTGATGAATTGAGTTTGTGACAAAATGAATTTCTTATGAATTGTCTTTGTGACACATTACCAACGATTTTATGACGGGACCCTTCTGTTGCTACTTAAGTTTACGATGCTATGAGTTTGTTGCACAGTGAGTTTGTATTGAATGAGTTTGTGACAAAACTCATTTGTTATGAATTAAGTTTTTGACAAAATGAGTTTGTGACAAAACGCATTTGTTGTGAACTGAGTTTGTGGCTATCTTTTTAACTTTACAAATCAAATGCACAAATGTAAAATATATATTGTTTTATTTCACAAGTAATCCATCAGTCTTACGGTATAAAATAATATTTTTTTAAAATTACCTATAATTTAAATAGCTACATATATTTTTGGTTCTGAGGAATAAAAAAAAATACAATATCACATTTTTTTTAGAGATAATAATGGCAAACTGTAAATATGCCAACATAGCTGTATCTAAGCGTATACTTAAAAAAAGTTACTAAGAAGTATGTAAGATATAATTGCGTATTTTTTAATATATGAAATCTAGAATTGCATATAAGCTGAGGGTCTAGTAAATGGATAGAGGTAATCGTCGAGGGGTTATCCATATATTGCGTCACACTATTTATTATTTCATGATATTCCAACTCCCCTTCCCCCTTCCAACTTACCTCGTTATCACTGCTGGACATTTATCTGATAAGGGACGGTCAAGTATTACGTTAGCATTATTACAATAATTTACCCCCCATCCCCGTTGTCAACAAAAGTAAGCAAAGCTCTTACCACCCCCCATGCTTACGTAAACATTTTTCAATTAATGTATTGTTTTTTTTAGCAAAGACAATGTGAGGGTTGCCGTTAGTGTAAAAAAGTAAATAACTGGCAGTGACGTCATCATAATCTAGACTCCCCCACCTCCCATGTTATTCAAAATCAGTAAAGCCAAGCTTCCAAACGTTCCAAAGGAGATATTTCCCCCCAATGTGTTTGCGTAATACTTGAACGCCCTTAACCCCACCCATAATGTGACGTCATCCTTAAATAATGTCATCAATACACAAAATTCATGATTTTTGTGTATATGTCTAGCTCCGGTTTTACTTGCGTTACATCTTAGGACATTTTTCTGATAATCCCCATCAAAGTCCCCTAGTATGACGTGACATATTTTAGGCACAAATTATTAATAAAAATCTGATTGTATATATTATATATATATACTAGCTGATACTTCGTTTTGTGATCAACATTTTTTTTTATTGTCAGTTAGCAAACGCCGAGAGCAGGTCAATAGAAAGGTGGTCACCCTTCAAATTATTATAAACACATTTATATTTTATTTTTAATATTTCAATTCAGAGTCATATATAATTAAAATAAAAAATATTGTCCACTAAAAATAAGAAAATCATTTTTTTGGGTTGGTGTAATCACAACTTATGTTTTTAGAGTATGAAAAAGTTTTCACACACAAATTTGCAAAGAATCGGTCACGCGGTGTTGGAGGAGTTTTGTTACAAACAGTGTGATACGTACAACTTTATAATAACACAGCTGTCCCGGCAAACGTTGTTTTGCCTTACAAACTGAAAAAAAATTTAGTTTTTTTTTGGACTACATACATAATATTTAGTAAACACCTAGGATGAAAAATATATGTCGGCCGATTCTCAGACCTACTCAATACGCTCACAAAATTTCATGAGAATCGGTCAAGCCGTTTCGGAGATATGGGAACGAAAACTGTGACACGAGAATTTTATATATAAGATTTATAGAAGCAACAGATATATTAATATTTTTAAGACGTATTTTATAGTGAGGTTGTTTTTTGAGCGGTATAATAAAGATTATTATTATTATGCAATATGACGTTGTCACGAATTTAATATATATAATCCTATGTTTGTATAAATGTCACAATTACTCCAACCCCCTTGTCCCTTTTTTTTTTTCAAAATATAATATATTTATTTATTGTCAGAAGAGTTGTAGCACTGCGACCTGCAATGGTTCTTTTTCAAAGTTCGCTATTAAAACCGGTTAGGGACAAGAATTGAAGGATATTCTTAGGAGCGATGGTTTTTATCTCCACAGGATAAAGTGTAAACGTTATTGGAGATATTTCGTTTGTTTGACCACGAGTGGGCTACTTTTCCACATAGGATGTGTAGTGGCGTTTCTTATTCTGTTGTTTCGCGCCTTATTTTGACATATTTATGAATAACCCCTTGTATACAACAGTACCTTGGAACTACCGTCTTCATGAAGAATAGAAGTCATCCGATGTTTATACGAATTATATCTTACTAGCTGTGCCCGCGGTTCACTCGCGTTAAATTTCAATAAAAATATAGCTTACATGTTATTCTGATGTGATAAACTATGTTACTGTAAAGTTTCATCAAAGTCCGTTCAGTAGTTTTTGCGTGAAAGAGTAACATACATCCATCAATACTCACAAACTTTCGCATTTAGAATATTAGTAACATTAACAATTTTGTGATAACAGACAATATTACAATAGGATAAACAACGCTGAAAACAATTTAAAAAAATCATGACATTTAACACTTTCCCGCCTAAATATTATTTTTTATTCATCCCTTTAGGAAAGGCAAAAGCGTAAGCAACACAGCCATGTCTGCAATTGTGCGCCTCCAAATTATTATAAACACATCTTATATTTTTTTATTGAATGTTACGGTCAGAGTTCTTGCCTTTTAAATCAGCGCAAACTTTACTCTTACTAGTTGCCGTACTAAAATATTGTTACGAATAATGTCAACATGTACAATAGCGTTTAGTTTTCGTCGCCTCTATTGTTTTTAGATGCTGCCTATGTTCTTCGACGTGTTTCATCACTTTCAAATCAGCTGCGCAGTCGTCGACAATTTTTTGGAAGAGCTCCTCTGAAAAGTAAAATATGTAAATGTTAAAAATAGAAAATACACTAACTCTATAATAATATAATTAACACAGCGCCATCTAGTACCACGGTAAGCAGAGCTTGTGTTATAGGTACTACACAACTGATATAAATTCTTAGTTTTTTTTTGTGAATACATACATAATATACACAGTAAACACCTAGAAAGACACAAACAATCATACTTATGAATACAGATCTTTGTACTGTGCGGGAAATCGAACCTGCGACCTTCGGTGTTAAAACGTAAACCCGATTTTTTTGTTCGGTCTCAGGGAAAGGCAAAGGAACTCAGTTCATACAGCCATTGTACGGTAGGTATATACATAGGAAGGTTTTTGGTTTTTTTTTTTACAATTTTAGGTCGCTAAGGTACATATACAAACTGCTGTACTTACCAACATTCTCGCCAGACTTGCTGGAAGTGAGGAAGTGGCCGTTCAGACCTTGAGAATACGTGGCTACTATATCTTCTGGAACTTCTCTAGTGACCGCCCCAGAGTCTAGTAGGTCTTTTTTAGTTCCACATAGATACACTTTGCAATCCTGGAAAAAATATTATCATTACATAGTATAAAAGAATTAGGAGAAAATAAAATAGATAATAGTAAGGAAAAAAATGGAATAGAAAATAGAAAAATAAAATATGAACTTATTATATTTCTGATGGAGATTTTGTACTAAATCATTACATAGTATAAAACAATGTAGCTCTCGCTGTCTGTCCGTCCCTATGTATGCTTAACTGTTTAAAACTATGCAACGGATTTTGAAGCGGTTTTTTTAATTGATAGAGTAATTCAAGAGGAAGGTTTATATGTATAATACATGTACACTCGTGCGAAGCCGGGGTTTTTTTTGAGGGTTGATAATGGAATGGTGCCCCACCTGAGGATGATAAGATGAGCATGAGGTCAGGTCAGTTAGCCCATCGCGACAAATTCACCAGGAATTTAACATGGTTTCCAGGGGGAACCGCGTGGAGGTCGACCTGACATGGTACATTGCTAGCAATGGGGTTATCAATCCACATTTACAACAATCCCCTTCCCCCCGCGCGAAGCCGGGGTAGAAGGCTAGTAAATACTAAAGTTTGTGAGAATAGATCAATAAGAAGAATGAATGAGTTACTCTTCAACAGAATAACTACAGGACTTTACAGAAGATGAGAAGAACTGGCGTGAAAGTGAACTAGTGTTTTATATTATTTTAGTCAGTTATAATCTTGAAATCTATACATATAATTTCAAGATTAAAATAATTATTGAAATAACCGTTTTTTACTACATGCATATACGGTACATGCACCAAAATAGCATTTTTTACAATTTTGTCTGTCTGTTTGTTCAGGCTAATCTCTGAAATGGATGGACCGATTTTGACGGGATTTTTTTTGGCAGGTAGCTGATGTAATAAGGAGTAACTTAAAACTACTTTTATTTTAGAAAAATAAAGTTAAATTCCACGCGGACTGTTATCTGACGCACTACGCTATCAAAATATTGTATATCTTTTTTTTTATATAGTTAATTTTATTATTATATTTATTTATTTATAATTGCACATGCATATACATAAATTTACATATGATAAATTAACAATACACATGGACTCTGTTTAAAGAGTATGGTAATTTCGTAGATGACTCATTCCCATAATGAAATTTAAAATTTAGATCTGTTGTAGTGTCCAGTTAGCTCCTATAGTACGTCTCTTAAAAATTATTTTACTGTATAGTAAAATAATAAGCTTCGTCGGTCAGTAGTTCTTTAAGCCTTTTTTTAAATAAATTAATTTTATCTTCTTGTTTTATGGTTTCCGGGATTTTATTATATATTACAATGGATCGGTAATACGGACTCGCCCTAAACATTTCTATTTTAGGTTCTGGTAGGGCCAGTTGGCTTTTTAATCTATTATATTACATTTAAAATTAAAATATGATAAATCATGAACAAATACAGCTATCTCCAATATATAAATAGACGGTAAATGTACGTATATATATATATCCTTACTAATATTATAAATGCGAAAGTAATTCTGTCTGTCTGTCTGTCTGTCTGTCTCGCTTTCACGCCGAAACCACTGAACCGATTTAAAAGAAATTTGGTACACAGAAAGTCTAGACTGCAAAAAAAGAGTTGAAAGGGGATGAAAGGTTATATGTAAGTATCGTCATTTTACGCGGACGAAGTCGCGGGAACAGCTAGTATATAAATATACACGATACGTCGTTCTGTTCTTTGTCATTTTTTAATAAATACATATAGGGGTGCGCACAATGTAATTAATATAAATCTACCCATTTTCTACACAATATTGTAGTCAGACCGGAAGACGCAGCGTGGGAAGGCCTCCAGCAAGGTGGACCGACGATCTGGTCAAGATCGCGGGAAGGCATTGGATGCGAGCAGCGCAGGACCGATCGTCGTGGAGATCTTTGGGGGAGGCCTATGTCCAGCAGTGGACGTCTTCCGGGCTGCGATGATGATGATGATGATGATTGTAGTCGGATTCAGACCATCGCGGTGACGCTCGGTGTCACATACAATAAGTGCGTTCTCAGTTTGCGAAAATAAGTCGGTGTTTTAGTTCCATCCTTTACAAGGACGAAGTCGAGGGAACAGCTGCGCGCTACCATCGGAAGTAAAGCAGTGGTAAACAGTTAGACCACCGAGACCATCAAGTTATTCCTTTAGTCCAGTTTGGAGTGCCATCTGCATATCGTCCGGTGAAGCTGTAAAGACTGCGGCCAATAGGATTAGAGAAATTAAAAAAAAGGTACATACCTCTTCTACGACCCTTAACTCTTGCATCCAGTGTCTCAGTCTGTCCCACGAATGGATGCATGACGCGTCATAGCAGATGATAGCAGCGTGGGCCCCTCGATAGTATGTCTTCGTCATAGCTTCATATCTGTAAGAGGCGTAATTAAAATATTGCGTAGTAAAATAAATCTAAATATATATAACTCAAAAGTGACTTAGTGATCTATCAACGCACAGCCCAAACCACTGGACGGATCGGGCTGAAATTTGGCATGTAGGTAGATGTTATGACGTAGGCATCCGTTAAGAACGGATTTTGATTAATTCTACCCCCAAAGGGATAACATAGGGGATGAAAGTTTGTATTAAACTTTGCCAATTTTAAACCGATCGGGCTTAGATTTTGCATGCATAAAGCTACTATGACGTAGGCATCCCCTAAGAAAGGATTTTCATAAATTCCAGCCATAAGGGGATAACTTAAAGCGAGCAAAGCCGAGGGCAAAAGCTAGTATTATATATATAGGATTAAAACTATTAAAAAATCAAAACGATTACCATGTACGTTTGTCACATATCAGTATATATATTTTTTATTTTACGGAATAGTGCACACGCCTGTAACGGTTTACGCTGGCGGGGCACCAGTGGAGGATGATAGGATGAGCATGAGGTCAGGTCAGTTAGCACATCGTGACAAATTCACCAGGAATTTAACATCCAGGTGTAACCTTGTAGAGGTCAACCTGACATTGTATATTGGTGGCATTAGAATCATTACTCCACATTACTAACAATTCCTTTACTCCATGCCTGGAAGATAACTCTATTTAGCAATAAGGCCGCCCACTGTCACCTTTGTCATGCACATAATGACGGGAGATAGTCTAGCGGTTTAGGCGATGGTCGCGGGTTCGATTCCTCGAGAAACATTATATTATATTTTATTCTCTTTTATATTCACAGCCCTTTCCTCACTCCCAAACGTGTGTTATGAGACATCTGATAGATACACTTAGATATATTTTTTTGTTAATACATACTGTAGTAAACACAGACCGATCAAACAATCATACTCATAAATACAAATGTTGCATCGTGTCAGGAATTGAACCCGCAACCATCATATAATAATAGTCAACAGAAATAGCTAGCCGAACAGTACGGTGAGGTTAAGGCTAAAAAAATATGACGTGTATAAATAAATTTATTTATTTATTAAAACTTTAATGCACATAATTAAGTACATATGGCGGACTTAACACCATGCGGCATTATCTACCAGGCAACCATGGGTGGTGCAGAGAATAACTGTTGGCGGTTCAAATATAAAAATATAAACGATACACATACAAATAATACAAATATATCTGAATAAATAAAATAGCTACATCTATATATATAAATAAAATTGGAGTGTCTGTTTGTAATATTGAAATAACCGTTTTTTATTACATGCATATATATGTAAATATGGTACAAACACCAAAACATTTTTACAATTTTTGTCTGTCTGTCTGTCTGTTTGTTCCGGCTAATCTCTGAAATGGCTGGACCGATTTTGACGGGACTTATTGGCAGGTAGCTGATGTAATAAGGAATCACTTAGGCAACTTTTATTATAGAAAAATAAAGTTCAATTCCACGCGGGCGAAGTCGCGGGAACAGCTAGTATATACAAATGAAGCTGAAAGGTCCTGAGCAATGAATATTTTGTTATTTGATTTTATTTGATTTGATATATATTGGTATACCACATAAACAATAACTGTTTGTAAATCTGTTTGTTTTAATAAATTATGTACAATTGTAATTTATAGACTACTACCGACCGACCCGGCTTCGCATCGATGCATTACAATTCTTTGAATTTCTCAGCTTATTCTATAAACCGCATGTATTATACATATAAACCTTCCTCTTGAATCACTCTATCTATTGCTGAAAACTGCATTACAATCCGTTGCGTAGTTTAAAAGATATAACCGAACAAACAGCGGCGACGACTTTGTTTTATATTACACAGTATAAAACAAAGTCGCTGTCGCTGTCTGTCCGTACCTATGTATGCTTATCTTTAAAACTACACAACGGATTTTAAAACGGTATATTTAGTAGATAGAGTGATTTAACAGGAAGGTTTATATATATAATACATGTACACCCGTGCGAAGCCGAAGCGAGTAGCTAGTATACTATGTATAGAAGTAAATATTTACCTTAAAATTACGTATATTTTAATAATGTATGTTGTTGACTAACATAATATATATAAATAAATAAATACAAAATAGAACAAAGAGATAACAAAACTATTGCGTGCTATTTTTGCGCAGTGTAGGTAAATCTAGCAATAATAGTGGTTCCCTAATGGTCGAAATCCGACCATAATTAAATTAAATTATATGTTTGAACATTGCTAAGGTTATTGTTGACTATACATCTATTATTACACATTTCGCCAAGGCTACACTGTTAATTTGTCTAACAATTTATATGGTTATGTTTGATATTCAGTAGGACTATAGAAATAATATTAAGGAGGGTAACCAGTTTAGACTGATCAAAAAATCGATTTTTATTATTGCATAAATTGTTAGTATAATTAGTTAAGAATATGTGGTCAAAATTTTAAAGCAAAATTTGCATAATTCCCAATGCTATGAGGACTTTACGTGGATTACAGCGCGTGACGAGGCAGGCGCAGCTCATTGGAGACGAAGGAAGTTCGTATAGCTCGTCAGGAGATACAAGCCCGAAATGACGAGAAAAAAATTGTGATAATTTCAGATGAAAATTGCGGTCACAAGAATGCCCCTCAGCAAACCAATGGCAATCGTCCATGGACACGATCTTACGACACTATTTCCAGCGGATATAACTTGAAAAATTTTTGCCAAGACTTATGACTTGACCAAACTTCTTGCTCATCTTAACATCCTCCACTGGTACTCCACCAGTGTAAGCCGTTAGCGCAGGCAGTACATGATTACATAATCATCCTAACAGTGAGGTTGCTCCGTCAAGTCATCATGAGACTTCTGTGAAGACACCATGAGATTTCTGTGCTTTTGGGAGGAGCTTCGCTGACTACTTTTGTCTCGCCTCTGCATGGACTATGGCCCAGAAGAGGGGCTGATTGTGGAAAATGGAGTTTAATTTACATTTATATTATCATCCATAAAAAAACTTACCTTTCACTGCCAGCAGTGTCCCATATCCCAACATTGAAGTCTCGTTCATTGGAATGCATTTTCTTAGCGCAGAAAGCTGCACCAATGGTCTGAAAATTAAACATCCTATATTTTCAATATGCCACTGTTTTTTCGAACTACTCTAATGCTGCTAGCCACAGCTGCCCACACACACTGCCTGCACACAGGGCGAGTGCAGATGGCACTCCAAACCAAATGAAGGACTTAGGGAGCGGCTGACGGCCAACTCCCGCCTGACGAATAAGACTTTAGTCTGAGAGCATCACTAGGGGTACAAACCATGGCTTGAGCCATCATAATATCGATCCTTGTTTGAATTGGACAGGAAATCAAAGGGGAATATACCATTAAAATGATTTAAAAAAAATAAATAAAATAATTTAGTTTCTTGCCAGTTCTTCTCAATTGTATCTATATACTGAACTAGATGGTAGGGAAAAATTATAATATAAAAATTATGTTCATAAGCGGCTAAAATGTCATACAGGAATAAATTATTTTTTAATTTCAACTTGAATTAAAAGAAGCAACTTGGTTGTGATTGGGAGCAAAACTTTTTAATATTTATTCATCATAATTACATAAGTACACTCACATAAATCAACTTACAAATAAAAACATTTTTTTTTTATATTAAATTATGTAAAGTTCATAATGATACTTAATGATAAAAATAACAGAAAGTTCTTAAAAATAATAAAAAATATTATGTAACTGTAACCTAACATAAATATGTTAAACATGAAAATGGTAAGATAGGATAATCTCTAATTTAATTATTAAACTGAAAATTTGTTATCTCTTTTAATTAAGTCTAAAGTAAATATTTAAAAGTATGTCAGTTACAACTTTTTTTCTTTGTTTTATTTCAACTAAGGAATGAAGAGAAGAGACAGGAAGGAAGGTTAAGGAATGAAACCAAGCTGCCTAATCTTCAATGTTCTATTCTTTGTTTTATTAATGATATAATTTTAATATTAAAACAAAAATTTTACTTACATTTTGATACGGAGTATTAGAATTAAAGCTGCAATTAACAAATCTTATGACTAAACTGGTTTTCCCTACATGCTCGCTACCTAATAACACCACTTTGAAATCACATCTAGACATTTTTATTTTTTTTAAATAATCAGCTAAAAATTACTATACTGTTATATTGTAATTACTAATTTATATTACGTTACATGCTTCGTATAAAATCACATGTTTTAACTCGTAAACAATAACAAAAACACTGATTCTTTTGTCTACATTGAGACTAACGTAATTAATATTTCTTTGATATAGACTGTTCGTTTTTATTTGTTTAATTCACAGACTAGTAAGTAAGCCCACTTATAAAATTCTATAAGGTCTTTGAAATGAAACAAAAAGTAATTGTGGAAGTGAATTATATTGAAAGCAAATTCAAGGATAAAATACATTGATATCTACTCATCTACTGTCATAGCCAGTGTTGCCAAGTTAATATTGCTATTTTCCCCTTTTGGTATATTTACTTTACTCTTTGTATTTTCCTAACATTCAGAGTCGATTAATATAACTAGTCCCTAAATTAACAGCGACGTAGTAATTTTTTTATAATAGACGGCTAGGGTGGTGCTATGTTACTGGCCAGACAAACTTTCAACTTTAATTAAATCATTTATTGTGTACACATGCTTCCATGAATATTAGTACGTATATGTTTGCTCTTAACAATGAAATAAATTATTATCTGTATTTATCTAAACAATGAATTCTTAAATTAAATTAAAAATAATTATTTTTACCCTAAATCAAGACAAAACATTTTAAACAGGCAATATTATTATATACTGAACCAGTCTACTACAGTTTTATAAGTCTGTCATCAGTCAAACGTTCAAAACACTGCAATATTTGACATTTGTAAATATAATGTTGCCAGATGAGTATATTTAATACAGTAGTTGTAATTTTTCACATACTTTATTTATACAACTTGGGCAATATTTTACCTAATTGGAACCTCACGTGACCTACTGACCTTTTATTTGTATGATAGTTGTTCTGTTCGCATTGTTGTCTTTTGTTACTGCTCCTCCTCATTCGTTTCAATAAAATAACAGATTTTGTTGATCCCTATGAGTACTGTATATATTCTATGACAATATTAATCAAAATGTACATTTCATTCGCCTACCTATATACTTACTTGTAAATTGTAACTCAGTACAAGCTTTTCACTTATTTAATTTGCTTTATGCACAGTTGCGTCCTTACAGTCCATTTTTACAACGTTCTCAAGACATTGTTGCTTTAAAAACTCAATGCAGGAGAAGCTTGTAATTGAGAAAATACTTACTGATACATTATTGAGCTGAATTTTTTAACTTAGCATCTATCATTTTCAAATCAATAATCACAGAAATTAAGTATAAAGTCATAATTAATATTTTTTAAAATTTCAACTTATATTAGATACCATCTAATAATAATAAAAGACAAAAGATGTCTCATTATTGATCAATAATTATTTTGATAGCTGATTGCTATCCATTTTCCTAGAGCGCCATCCAGTTTGCTTTTGTACTTAGGCCTTGTGTCTAAATTGTACAGTTAGGCACAGTCCCATTCCCAATTTCATGAGAAGAATATTTTACACTGTTTTTTTTTATATATATGAACATTAGCATCAATGAATGCATCCTATTGAAGGACGAAGTTAAAGATTTTTTTTATTTATTAATTTTCGAAAAAGTCATGTAAGGTTAAGGTACCTACATTTATACAGCTTTGTTCTGCATTTTGTAAGATTTTTGCTGAGATTTTGCGCATGTGCCATGGCCGGTGAATGAACTCAGAATGGGTGAGGCTAGCAGTCAATTGCTAGCCATAGTATGTGATACAGATACGTGAAAATTGTTTTTTTTTTATAAAAGTAAATAAAAGCAGTTAAATTGTTAAATATCCCACGATTTGTAAATTGATAAATAAATATTATCATCAGTAAGATTGTATTAAGATTTTATAATACCAATATAGCTCTTTTATGATGTTCCGTAGTATGCATAAGTCCTTATTAAAATGAAAAATATTTTGCCGCCAAGAAGAGAAAACAAATTTTTTAAATATTAATTTATTAAGAGATTTAAGATGACAAGAAAGAAATAGATATTTAATATATTGTGATACTATTTAAATGTTGATGGCTTAAAATAAATCTGCAATAAATTAAAAAGAAATAAAAACATTTTAGTACTATAGTGATATATTTCATTCTTTAACCCTATATGTATATAAATATACAGTTTAAAAGTTATAGTCGTCAAGTTTATGTTTTGCTCGTCAATATGTTCTTGGCCTTGTTATTAAAAAAAAAGTTAATATTTCAACGGCTTACTTGTGGAAGTTCATAATTGGTACCTATAGAATAATAAACAGTTCTTATTCTTATAAATTTATTTGAATAAAGATTATTACTATTTCTACTTAAATAATAACACTGGAGAATCCACACAGCGCTATCTAGTCTCAAACTAACCAAACAGATCCAGTGTTAGGTACTAAATCTGCCACCAGACATCCTGTATTAGTTCGCAATGATTCAATAACACCACTTTAGTTTTACACTCATCTGATTATTACAAAAAAAGATTAAAATCATACTACCTATCTGCCATTGAATGATTATTTTTATCATTATTTATTTGTTTATTATGATGAATATATTTATGTATTATATGATATGTATGTTTATTCCTATATTTTTGTATTACTATTTATATTTATGTATATTCGTATTTATGTATTTTACTTTTGTTTTAGACTATACAATTTGTTATTTGAATTTTATTTAGTATCTATCCTTTGACATTTTTTTTGTTTGCACCAATTATTACCCACTCAGTACCACATATCCCACTGTTTTAGGTTGACTGGAAGAGATCTCTTCTAGGGATAAGTCCACCTTTGCTTAGTTACCTTTGTCTCTAAATTATAATATCTTTTTATTATCTGTGCAATAAAGAATATATATATTATTCATAACAATTACGACTATTATCAAAGATGGGGTAATCAGAGACAGTGTAGAGCAGAGGTTCCCAAACCTTATTGTATGGTAGACCCCTTGCCATATATATTAAATTTCTAACTGGAGTAAAGTTTAGTATTAAAAACGTAAAGTAAAAACAAGAAGATTATAAAAAATAACATTACATTTTTTTTTAATTAGAAGCTATATAAGTCTGTAGTAAACTATATAAGTAACCACTCCCCGTCTTAATCGTTATATAAATACTTCAAAAATGATATATAATATATATAATATATATCATTTTAGAAGTCTATAGTTTTTACGGCTTCAATGGTATAGCGGTTTAGTGTGCTACATTCGTGCGGTTTATTACCGATAGTCGCGGGTTCGATTCCTCGCTAGTTGCAAATATTTGTAAGTAAGCATTATTGTTTGTTACAGTCTGGTGTTTTCTATATCGTCGATTAAATAGATAAATGTCATTTTTCAAAATTAGAAGCTAGAATTCCTTTTATATAAGTCTGTTAAATTAACCACGCCGTCTTAATCATTGTCTAAATACTTCTAAAATTATATATAACACTTCTGTGTAAATTGAAAACTTTAAAAGGAAAAATAATTTAAATAAATTTAATAACTTTAAATAGTTCTCCGTAAAGACAAGACAAAAATATATATTTTGAATACTGCCATTTTTCTATTTGACCGACGATATATGTATATCTAGTACAATACTGGTCTAATTCAGAAATTTGGAATTTTGAAATTAAGACTTTAATCGCACAGTTGTAAAGTGGACATTCCAAAATTTGTAAGTTTTGAGTTAGGCCAGTATTATAATAAGTGTGCGATATGTTATAATTATATATATGTTCAAACTCAATCATTATTAGAGAATCATTATTATTGAATTTAATGACGTCTGTACTATTGTTATCGTAGTTTGTGAATGATGATGTAATTCATATATTACTCGTTCTTTGTCTCACTCTAATAATCTATACTTCCCCACTACTCTGTTTCAGTGAAAGAGTATTGATCTGAACACAAAAGGTCATACAACCAGATCGATATATGGCCGACATCAAATGCTCATCCATTGTTATTATCTTATTACAGTAGGTAGCATTTCGAATTATAAAAGCTAAATATTATATTCAGTACTAGCTGTAACCGCGACTTCGACCGCGTGGAATATAACTATATTTTTCTAATATAAATGTAGCCTAAATTACTCCTTATTACATCGACTACCTGCCAAAAAAAGTACCGTCAAAATTGGTCCAGCCATTTCAGAGATTAGCCGGAACAAATAGACAGGCAGAATAAAATCGTAAAAAAAAAATAATTTGGTGTATGTACCGCATCGTATTTATATTAATATGCATGTAGTAAAAAACGGTTATTTCAATATTACAAACAGACACTCCAATTTCATATATATGTATAAATGACGATTCTTAAGTGCATTTCGGATATACATTTTAGTAAATTCAAATAATTATCTACTTATTAAATAAAGCTGTATAGCATGACTATTCCGTATCGAGTTTTTTTCGTGATCAATTTTAAAAAAAAATCAAAATTTAAATTTAGAATATTTTTTTAATATAATTTATTACTCTATATTAAATTATTATACAACAATAGAGTATGGCTTTTATTTTCTGATGATAATGTAATGGTGCACCCGCCTGCGCTAACGGTTTACGCTGGCGAGGCACCAGTGGAGGATGATAACATGAGCATGAGGTCAGGTGAGTTAGCACATCGTGTACACGTGGATATCAACCTGACATGGTACATTGCTAGCAATAAGGTTATCAGTCCACATTAATAACAATCTCCTTCTCATTCGAGTATGGCGTTACACTATTAGAACCACAGATAACATAATATTACATAATAATAACACAGGATTCCTTTTTTAAAAGATGAAAAAAGTTAACATTTTTTTTATTTCTACTGGTTTTAAATATAAATAAACCTAAGAATATATTCTTTGCACGTTTATAATCGCAATATCATTTCAATCCATTTTTGTAACTTTAATTTTAAACACACCTTCGATCAAGTCAAAACTGAATAAATCCATAGACAATATTAGTTTGTTTTTTAATTATCCACGAACTGTAGAATTAATGTTAGTGATAATAATAATAACCCAGGACAATCTACAGCGCCATTTAGCCCCAAGCTAAGCAGAGCTTGTGTTATAATAGACAACTGATATGAATATTTAAATACATACATAATATACATAGAAAACACCAAGACCAATACAAACAATCATACTCCTGAATACAAATATTTGTACCGTGTGAGGAATCCAACCCACGACCAACAGAAAGTAAGGCGGTGTACCACCAAGGCCGACGAATTTCGCCTTCGTGACTAATTAATAAAGAATTGACCACTAGCAGTTTCCTGATGGACACCGCGTGGTGGTCGGCCTTATAGGGTAGATGATACGCGGTCCTCTCTGAAAACTATCGATAGTTTTCAGAGGGGAAAGTCAACCAGATCCGTACTAGCTCCCATATTAACAAATTGTTCTTCTCTTATTTGAGGATTACAACCGGCTATCATATATTTTGAGTACAAACAGATTCTGCTGACACCACTGAAAGAAAAAAGGATGAAGTAAAAACAGGTTGCGAAGAATCGAACCCGCGACCACAGAAAAAATGTGTGCTAAACCACAACTGTGTTTAGTGACGACCGAATTTAGGTTGATCATACCTATATATTTTAGTAATGATGGGTGTGGTTAAAAACTTCCCGCTCTAATTGGACTAAATATTTTGTATATAAAAAAAAATAGAATAAGAAAAAAATTGTTACATTGTTTTATTATGCCTCTCATCATCATTCTGATGAATAGTCATCATATTATTGGATGATAAAATCGAAAGGTAAAAATTTAATTAACATTTGATTGTTTATTGAGTTCTACTTACCTACCAATTACTAATAGTTTATAAAAAATAACAAATAAAATTAAAAAAAAATATATAAACTACTACCAGGTACCTAGTCTCCAAATATTATTATTTTAAAAAGAAAGAAAAATTATGGAACCACTATTTTAGTAATTACCTGCCTAGTTTAAAATAACAATTAAATATTATAAGTAATTTATTATAACAGCAATTTTATTCAGGTTAAATAAAGACACATTCATTTTATTAATACCACTGTCAATTTTTTTTTCTTTTTTATGCCCACTGTCTAAGGAAACGAAAGAAAAATAATTAATGTCTTTTTAAATCATAAAACATAAGTAGGGAATTCAAAATTCTGGTCGAATGAACGTAAATGAGTATTATGCAAACAAATAGGCAAGGTGAAGCCACACACAACACAAAGTAATAACCTCGACTCGACTCGACGACGCGATAACATTACCAGCGATAACGCGATCGAGTAGGTACAAAACTACAATCATACAATGCCAACTCAACGCTCGACCTACCTATAACTATCGCCATTTCATACTGTCTTCCTTCTGCTTGTCCCACACCCATCACAATGTTGCACGTATTTATGCTTTAAAACAAAAATCAAATAAGAAGCTATTAATTTTAATATTTCTTTATTGTGTATAATTAAAATAGCTATTAATTTTAAACCAAGTAGAAATATTTTTCATTGTTTTCTTTATTAATTTAGTTCATTTTGGTATAACCCGACTAAATTGAGCAACCAAGACATCGGTTAATTTATATTGTTCCAAGTTATACTTACATGAGACGTGGCAATGGATGAATGTGGATTAAAATAATAAAATAAAATATTTGTCAAAACGCGAAAGTAAATAGTTTATTTGAATAACTATTATTACTTATTAATTTTTTTAGTACCTAAAATTAAAGAAGATTGATAGGAAAATTGTAGAGCACATAGGATACAATTTTATTTGGTCGAATATCCAAACAGTGTTGCCAGTAGAAAAATAAGTTCGTCTTTTTTACGCTTTCCGTAGGCAGTAGCATTACTTCAATGGAAACGTAATGGACGTTCTACAGCTAGGTTTAAGGCTTCGCGATTTTGTTTATATCTCCGATAATCGGCATCGAAAACTTTTGTAATCACTTTTAAATGCAATTTTATTGCACAAGGATGTAGTGCGTGCATTTATTATTAGTCCAAATCGTGTGTTTTATGTATTTTACGTCTCTTTAATATTGCACCTTTTGTAGTTAGTAATTGATTGATGTAAAGTGGAACCAAGCATATTTTTTCCATAGTTTTATTGTTTGAAATTAGTATTTTGTTGTTATTATTAAGTTTAACTAAACTTATATTTGTAAAATAGTTGTTATCGTATAAGTTATACTTTACAAGTGTTTATTACTGGTTTATTCCAACGAAGTTATCAGAATGGTTTCGCTGTAAGGTGAGTGAGTTACTTACGACATTTCTCAATTTATGTTCACGATTTAATGCTTTTCTCTCGTTTGATAACACCTGTTATGATATCCTAGTGCTTTATTTACAACTACAGCCATATCATTACTCGTTTACTTAAATATTTATTTAGATATTACTTGTTACTGTGAATCATTATATTCACTTCTATGAAAATATCGTCCGTCTAGTAGGTAGGTCTTGTTTGTCGGTACATATTGTGTAAAATAGTAATTTCAGGAAACGTCATTTTGAAATATTCAGTGCAATATTGGAGCCATAAAGTAGTGTTGTCAAAAACTATTTTTTTTAATAACATATGTGTACAAGGAACGAATCCATAATGCTTATTTTAGAAGCACATTAACATAATTAATTTAATGACTTTCACCACAAGTTCTTTGGTCAATTAATAACCAGTATTAATAATTGTGTTCCAATATTGACATGTTGTACATACAAATCAATCATCTATATATTTTTTATATGGTTTCTTAACTGCCAGCACATACAAACACTTCTATTTATAAATGTGTATGTTTGTTCACTGTATGTAAATTGTTTGTGTTTACAAAAATACTATATTTAGGTATGCCTAATAGTCTAGTAGGAGCCTAATAGTCTTAGGAGCTTTACCTGGATTTGTACTAGATGGCGCTGTATCAGATATTCTGTGTTATTTATTAATTAATCTAGAATAGATATAGACAATCATTTATTGGAACAAATTTCAATTTAAACACTTTTGACTAGTCATACCTATTTTTTTTTATCTACCACTTATTCGGAAAGTTGTATTATTACAAAAATAATGAGCAAAAGTTTTGTGTGCTGCACTTTTAAGCAAATGTAGTAATTTTACATTTTTATGTTTAAATATATGTGAATACAAAATACCAAATAGCACTAATTCATTAGAGTCAACATATTAAATATACACAACTAATTGTTGAATAGTTAAATAAGAGTAAATCTGTTGTAGTTAATGAACAGACCAGTCCCTATACAGCAGGACCTGTTTACAATGGGTGAGCCAGCCATCACTGCACTCAACTATAGTTTAGGGACCCTAATGACCCGCTCCTTGTATGTTGTGGCATCTTATGGGTACTGACAACCATCCCCTATATTTGTTAGTAAATTGTTAGTAATGTGTTTTAATAACACCATTGCCAACAATGTACCTTGTCATGTTGACATCAACAAGTATAATGGGTGAGCCAGCCATCACTGCTCTCGACCATATTTTAGGGACCCCAATGAAATGGTCCATCACCAATAATATTTTAGTAGCATGACAACTCTTGTAGCAGACCCCCTTCATCATATAATCTTGAACAATATTGGTGCTTGCTATGCATGAAATTAATCTAAAATACATAATTTATTACGAGAGAAATAGAAATAATCTTTATTGAAATAAACTCAATACAAGCATTTTTTAATAGTCATTTTTGTTTGATTCTACCACTCATTCGGAATGCAACTCATCACAAGAAGAATGAGCAAGAAACTTGTGTATTGCTATTTTTTAAATAAACAATTACATAATAACAACTAAGATGCATGGGATTATGAACATAGAAACTGCTACACACTCAATCTTAGTGCAATCAGATAATATTGTCAGTGCTATGAATTTAATGTTTTCTCTACAAAAATATTATTATTATTTACAAAGTCTTCAATTCTATAAAATGCTTTTTTACAAAGGAAGTGTTTTATACAACATTTGAATCTTTTTCAAGCAGATTTAGAACACTAAACTTAATATATATAGATAGATAACTCAAAAGTGCTTATATCCTATTTAGAGTTCTAAATCTGCTTGAAAAAGATTCAAACAACATTTGAGTTTTTTTTCAAGCAGATTTAGAACACTAAACTTAATATATATAGATAGATAACTCAAAAGTATATCATAATTTTTTATTCTACCAAAATTACAATTGCATCAATAAGGCGAGTAGGTAGACGGAAGAAAAGATGGTCTGATGACCTCAAAGAAATAGCAGGTGAAAATTGGATGAGTGTAGGTACAAGTAGAAAATCATCGAACAGTTTGGAGGTGCCTTTTAACCACATGGGACCATATATAAAAAAAACCATATTAGTTAACTTGAAATGTACATTTAAAATTACAATTATGTGAAAAAGAAAGCTTAATAATAATAAAGTTCTGTCATTCACAGGAATACCAAGAAGTCTTTCCAAACACCAAAATAACATTTTTAAAAATTTTTGTCTATCTGTTTGATCCGGCTAATCTCTGAAATGTCTGGATCAATTTTGACGGGACTTTTTTTGACAGGTAGCTGATGTAATAAGGAGTAATTTAGGCTACTTTTATTTTAGAAAACTAAAGTTAAATTCCATGCAGATGAAATCGCGGGAACAACTAGTAATATATATATATTTTTTTACAGTAATCACAATAGAATATAATAATAATGGCGTTGTGCGAGAGTAAGTTGGATTCACCTCTTCCATCTCTGAAGCACGAGGAGTCGTCTCCGAGAAGCGAGGAAAGTCAAGAGTCACCCGAAAAGAAACCTAAGCTGGAACCAAATGGAGATGTATATGGTAAGTATTATTTTACTAGCTATCCACCCGGCTTGGGTGCACATATATTATACATATAAACTTTCCTTTTGAATCACTCTATCTATTAAAAAAAAACACTTCAAAATCCGTTGTATAGTTTTAAATATATAAGCATACATAGGGACGGACAGACAGCCACAGCGACTTTGTTTTATACTATGTAATAATTATTTTTTTTGTTTTTTTTTCCGGGGATATTTCTAACCAGTCCTAAGACTATGAGTGAATCTGTTTGATGCAGTAATGTAGAGTGGTTTCCCATTGGTTGATATATTATTTTATTTATTAGATTTCTTTTTTGTTTTTTTTATCTGAGTATATTTGCAATCAGTCCTAAGACTGAATAATTCTATAATGCCATGTAGAGTGACTTCCCATTGGTTGATATATTATTTTATTTTTTAGAAATAGAAATAGATATAATCCTAACTCAAATATACTTAATATAAGCACTTTAGAATAGTCATATTTTTTTTATTCTACCACTCATTCGAAACGCAGACTCATCACAAGAAGAATGAGTATCAAACTTGCCTGTTGCTCTTTTAAATAAATGTTGTTCAGAGATTCAAGACTTTTGTGTGAATATAAATTGCCAAATAGCAAATTTGACATAAATAGTTACTTGATTAACAAAATAAATCAGTTATCGTTATCAGAACAGACCAGTCCTTACAAGCAGGACCCGTTCACGAGTATGACATATGAGCCATCTATACTGCACTATGTACTAGTGCACTAGTGTTATGAATATTATCCTAGTTTGAAGGAATTTTCTAAATGCGATATATGTTTAGAATTACAGGCTTCTGTAGTTGGCAGTATATACTAGGTGGCAACTTTAGCGTTTTTACTACATCCATATGAATATAAGTACAGTACATATACGAAAATAACTTTTTATTCAATTTTTGTCTGTCTGTTTGTTCCGGCTAATCTCTGAAATGGCTGGACCGATTTTGACGGGACTTTTTTTTGGCAGGTAGCTGATGTAATAAGGATAATATTAATATGGAATCTCTTTAATTTTTCAGTGACAGGAGGTATACCTCTGGTGGACTACCGGTCGCCAGTATCACATTTCGTGCCTCCAGAGTTGTATGCTGCAAGACATAAACCTGAGTTGGTCTCGTCTCGTGAGTACATTTTTTTTCCTCTGAGTCCCAAGACTTAGCGAATCTGTTCTGCAATGCTGTCATGTAGAGTGGCTTCCCATTGGAAACTTCTACTCATATGCATCCTAGAACTACTGCCGATCGTCTAGCTCCAGGATATGATGGCGTTTTAGTCTCACATGCTATTCTATAGTGAGTTGTCGAGCAATTTTGTTAGGGTGATGATTCAACCGTTCCTTACATTTGGCTGCCAAACTCCGGATTTCCTCCTTCACTGTAAGTACATATATATTTAGAAAACTGTGGAACTAGTCAGAGCCCAGAATTGGTGGCTTACCAGTAATAGCTAAATGGCGGTTTCCTACTATTACCAGAAATAAAAACGTATATTATATTCGTAATCGTATTGGCACGTCTTAACAGAACTGTGGCCAAGACAAGAATGAATTATTTGATCTAAATATGGTTTACATATCAGTCTACCCTCACTATTTTAATAAAAAATATTAAAATAATTAATTATTAATCTGCATATAGGATCATGTTAATATTCTATTGTTATAAATATATCTATATATACAATTGTGTATATTTATTGTCTATAACTATTAGAATCTAACACCAAGAAGGAGAACTCCTCAGACCAGTGTTTCATGAACTATATTTGACCACCCGCCCATTTATAATAATATAATAATAATTTATTTATTTGTTTATATTTAAATAAAAAATGTTAGGAGGCAACCCTATGGAAATCCTACGGAGATCCATCTTATCGGGAAGGGGAGGAACTTCTTAGACCAGTGTTTCATGAAATATTTCTGTCCACCTGTCCATTTATATTCAAATCAAATTGTTAGGAGGAGATCCTATTAAGATCCATCTTATCGGGAAGGATAGGAACTCCTTAGACCAGTGTTTCATGAAATATTTCTGTCCACCTGTCCATTTATATTCAAATCAAATTGTTAGGAGGAGATCCTATTGTGATCCATCTTATCGGGAAGGAGAGGAACTCCTCAGACCAGTGTTTCATGAACTAATTCTATCCACCCCTCCTGAAACTAACGTAAATACGAGATTACCGAATGGATTAACTTTTTATATTTCAGTTTAATGTGAGCAAAACATTCGTATATCATCTACTTAAAATGATACACAATGTCAATATTCGATATTTATCTACCATCATAAAAATAAAAAATTATAAGTAGGTAGTTGGAACCAGAGAATAAGGTGATAAAGTTAAATTATATGTTGCAGTAAATATATTCTTAAATACAAATAAAAAACATGTAACACGTCCATACTATCCCTGATCAACGCGACTGTTGACTGGTAGAGAATGCCATCAGGCATTAAGTCCGCCATGTATACAATTTTGTACGCAAAAGAATAAATAAATAAATAAATTTATATTTAAATTCTACATGGAGGAGGCTATTCTACGGAAATCCTAAGAGTATCCATCTCTCGGATAAAATATTATTTTTTGCATCACTGTGGACTCTCATGTCCAATTTTGCGTTCACTACATTTTCAAGAGAAATATAATCTTTATTAAAATATTCTTAAATTTTGTTACTTTTAAATAATCACATCGAACAGTAATTGTAACGGGATGTCCAACGATGGAATTTAGGTGGTATCGTGTCACATTTACGACTATATCCCAGCGAGGGTAGTCAGAGGAATAATCAACTGTGAACAAAACAGTTGCAATTACTGTTCCGTTACAATTACTGTTCGATGTGGATAAACGGGGATTCTCCACAGTACCTTTCTCTAGAAACTATTTGCAACAGCACATTTTTAATTTATGATAATGGAAAGGTGCTACTATTGGTCATTGGGCTCCCTAAAATAAGGTTGAGCGCAGTGATAGCTGGCTCACACGTCATACTCGTGAACGAGCGCCGCTTGTAGGGACTGGTCAGCTCTTATCACTACAACTGATTTAATCTTATTGTCTATTTATATTTGACTCTATTAAATTAGTGCTAGTTGGTAGTTCGTATTCACACGTTTCTACTTGAAAAATTTTAATTTACAAGGATTATTTAAAAGAGCTACACACAAGTTTCTTGCTCGTTCTTCTAGTGATGAGACAGCTTTCCGAATGAGCGGTAGATTAAAAAAAAAAAGACTATTCAAAAATTAAGTTTATTTGAATAAAAGATTCTCTATTCTATTGCGTTAACGGTATACACTGGCGGGGAATTGGTGGACGTTAATAAGACACCATCGTGACAAATTCACCAGGAATCTATCACGATGGTTTCCAGGGAGAACCGCGTGATGGTCAACCTGACATGGTAATCACTACCAATCATCATGATCATCATCATCATCGCAGCCTGGAAGACGTCCACTGCTGGACATAGGCCTCCCCCAAAGATCTCCACGACGATCGGTCCTGCGCTGCTCGCATCCAATACCTTCCAGCGATCTTGACCAAATCGTCGGTCCACCTTGCTGGAGGCCTTCCCACGCTGCGTCTTCCGTTCCGTGGTCGCCACTCGAGGACTTTACTTCCCCAACGGCCATCTGTCCTACGAGCTATGTGCCCCGCCCATTGCCACTTTCAATCACTAGCAATGGGGTTATTAATCCAAATTACTAACAATCCTATCTCCTTCCCGCATAACCATATTGTGGAATCGATTCCCAATAGTACTTTTGAAGTGATACGATATTGAAATGATTAGCAAAGCATATTTCTTACTAAAAGTTTGGCAAGTCATCTGCAATTCGCCTGGTGTTGCGGGTGCTCATGGGCAGCGGTAATCACTTACTACCAGGTGTGCCTTGTTGTCCCCAATGTTATAAAAATGTACTTTATGTCCGGCTCGATAGGACCAGGTTTATAATGAATGCGTTATTTACCCAAATAAACTTCTTCTTTTCGTGTTAGTTCTTAGCTCATGCTTTGCGGGTGCTCATGGGCGGCGGTAATCACTTACCATCAGGTGAGCCGCGTGCTCGTTTGTCCCTTGTGTTATAAAAAAAAAAAAGCTCGAAGCACTCCGAACTGACGTAACAAAACTACATTGTAAAATAATCAAGTATAAACAAATTCTAATTAAGCTATCTAAAGTATTACATCGCTCAAATATAGAAAAAAACTCGCTAAACAACTTGTAACAAAACTTTTTCTCAACTGTTTTTACGGGAATCTGTAACAAACCTGTATGAATAAAAATATTTTGTTTTTTTTTAATGCCTATTTTAATTGTCTGTTTTGTGTTCTGCTAGGCAAAAGCCACATCCACACGCCTCCGAACCTCTATCCTGAACTTGATTTGACCATATCGTATTATTACTTTAATTTAATTATATTAGTTTTATTTACCAAATAAAGCAGCATGTAATTGACAAATTTCATACGAGAATTATTCTCTACTTAACCTTTGGTATGGACAGTTCACGGATAGTATCTTTGAGTTTGTTTTCGAACTATTTTAATGCTGTTGGTCGCAGATGGCCTTGACAGCTTCACCGGACGTTAGCGAGTGCAGATGACACTCCAAACCAAAGGAACGCGGCTGAAGGCGAGCTGACGGGTACGACTTTAGTCTGAGGGCACCGTTAAGGGTTCACTCCGTCGTAATTTCGATCCCCGTTTGAATTGGACGAACCTTAAAGTTTGGACGGGGTATTGTTGAGTATGATTGTTTGTTTGGTCTGAATGTTTTAGTAATTAATGTATGTTATGTATGTATTTACAAAGGAAATATTTATTTCTATCAAATGTTTAGTACGCATAGTACAAACTCTCCTTAGTTTCGGACTAGATGGCGCTGTGCGAGTTGTCCTGGGTCATTATTTTTATTTTCTTTTTAAAATACATTTTCATAAATAATAAAATAGTATATTTTTATAATTATTATTTAGTTTGCATTTATCTAATTTATCCCCATTTTTGTTTATTTATTTCGTAATTAATTTCTTTGTGTTTTTTTCTTTTTTTTCTTTTAGTCATATCCATTTTGCGTCTGAATTACAGCGCCTGAACCAAATGATTCTCCAACGCCGACTAAGAGAAAACGAGGCAGGCCACGCGTGGACAAGACCAGTCCTGAATATTTGGCCAATATGGCTGCCAGGAAACAGGCTAGGGAAATGGGTGAGTTTATAGCGTAGGGGCCAAATTGCCGTCCCGCCGGATGGTAAGTAATTACCGTCATGAGCACCTGTATCATTTGGGGAGTTAAAGGTTGCTGGACTTTCTGGAAGGGTACGGGATAGGGCGATGGGAGTTTTTTTTATGGATGATAATGGAATGTACCCGCCTGCGCTAACAGTTACCGCTGGCGGGGCATCAGTGGAGGGTGATAAAATGAACATGATGTCAGTTAGCCCCATCTTGGTAAATGGCAATTTACCACGATGGTTTCCAGAGTAAACTGACATGGTATATTGCTAGCAATGGGGTTATTAATCCACATTACTAACAATCCCCTTCCCCCAGGAGATGGGAGTTCACACCCCCTCACCCACTATGCACAATATGCAAATTGTTACTGCACTTGTGTGTGACATCTGCACTCGCCCCCTATCGTTCGGTGAAGCTATAAAGGCCAGCTGCGGCCAATAGCATTTGAATAGACAAAACACTTGTGTTTTTTTATTGGATGATAATGGAATACCCTGGCTCGTCACCAGTGGACGGTCATAAAATGAGCCTCATTCTCAAGACAGTCCGTGGTGAAATCACCAGGAATTTATCACGATGGTCTCCATTGGAAACTGCGAGATCAACCTGATCATAATGGACCTGTAATGAACCATTAATTGCCAGCTATGGGTTATTAATCCACATTACTAACAATTCCCTTCCTTCCGCGCTTAAAGTGTTATCAATTAGTGCCGGCATTATTTGGGGTTATAGATTTTATAGTTAAAGAGCCACCACAAGCAAGAGTTTTATTCAAACCATCGTCATCATCATCAACATCATTATCACCACCACTACCACCACCACCACCACCACCTTCATCATCATCATCATCATCATCGTTATCATTTGCTTTTCCCTAAAAAAATGTAAAATGTTCCCTGTAAAAATGTTTGTTTGTTTGTAATACTTTATTATACGATATATATATAAGTATAGGGCACATTGAACTTTTAAATAAATGCGTACAATCGCGGACTTATCCTAAAAAGAGGGATTTCTGCCAGTCAACCTTTGAGTGACTGAGTGAAATTGTGGAGTGGTGGTAACAGTTAGGATAAATCATATCTAATCAAAAATTATTTATTAATGTAGGACATTTTAGCCAAAGACATTAAAAAAAAAAAAATGACGTTCGTAAGCATGTCAATATTTTTGTATTCATATTTTTTTCCCTACCGTCCACTTCATTATATAGAACTGGCTAGAAACTAAGCTAAATTTCTTTTATTTTTAAAGCCAGTTTATTTACATTATGTACTTATGTAGGTGTTTATGTTTAACATTAAGTGAAAATCCCGTGATTGAACAACTATTGCCATGCACGTTTGTCGTTCGGGTAATCGTTTAGTCTGTATATAATACGAATCACAATGTACATAAATTATGTTCTTCTAATCTATTCATCTCTGTTCGCAGTCATCACTTTCTTTCGCCATCTTTTTTATCTTTCTCTGCCCTTATATATATACATTAATATAAGATCATCATTCAGTTTCATCGAAACCAATTTTGAACATGACTATTTAAAGACTTTCTAAGGTTTTCTTTACTTAAGAATAATGTCGCAAAGAAAGGTATTAAACAATTGTATATTTTATTTCTATGGGTACTGTTGGAGCAAAATAAAATTTCTATTTTTTTGTCTCCTGGTCTATACTAGCAATTTTTTTTCTTTTATGCAATTGTAATGGCAAAGAAGCTAACCCATCTGATAATAAGCAGTAACTGTCGCCTATATACGTGACAGATATCACGTTATCATGTGACACCCGTGATACCACGTATCTGTCAGGCGGGAGTTGTCCTTCAGCCGCTTATAAGTCCTTCCTTTGGATTGGTGTGCCATCTGCACTCGCCCCCTGTCGTCCGGTGAAGCCGTAAAGGCCAGCTTCGGCTGACAGCATTAGAGTAGGCCGTAAAAAACCCCCGATACCCCTCATATGTTGCCATTCTAGAGGACTAAGATGTCATTCCTCTTATCCTATAATTACACTGCCTAATCTGCACCCTACAACATTGACTAGCTGAATCTGTAAATAACTAGCAGTTTTATCTGTCTGTTACAACCCTTCTTCTAAACTATGCAACGGATTTTGTTCAAAAATTTAACTTTCATTTAGAAAATTTCTTCGTATAATACACGTGGATATTTAGCCACTTATGTACGTCGTAATTTTTAACATTATCTCTAGTCCTATATGAATAAACCATTTAATAATCTGAAGAGGATGAAATAGGGGATGAAAATTTGTACAGACGAAGTCGCAGGTAATATCGAGCTTATAACCTTTTTATGACAATCCTGTATACCCATTACATAATAACTAAATTATAGGGAAGGGATGAAATACGGGATGAAACATTTTCCAGAGGAAGTCACGGGTAAAGCTAGTATAAGAGGCATAATACTCACAACACCTCAAGTGTCTTGACTAAATGCAGAATAGAATCCAAGATACAATAGTGGTAGATAAAAAACAAATTGTTATGACTATTCAAAAGTGCTTAAATTAAGTTTATTTGAATAAATGATTTTCTATTCTATTCTATTCTATTCTATTCTAATAGAATCTTCACATAGTATAAAACAAAGTCGCCGCCGCTGTCTGCGCGCTTATATCTTTTAAATTACTTAACGGATTATAATGCAGTGTTCAGCAATAGATAGAGTATTTCAAGGGGAAGGTTTATATGTATAATACATGTGTGTTATAATATAGAACAAGCCGGACATTCAAACATTTGAAATGCATCCGTGCTCAGCCGAGTCTACTAGTTTTTATATAAAAGCGCCATCTATCGGGAGTAATTGGTTAATAGCTAAAACTATCATGCGACAGCCCTATTATTTAAAAGTACATGAGTTTTCATGAGACATTTTTATTCATGAGTATGATTGTTTATATCTGTCTGTGTGTTTTCTATGTATAATATGTATGTATTTACAGAATAATCTAAGTATTTATATCAGTTGTCTAGTATCCATAACACAAGCTCTGCTTATCTGGGACTAGATGGCGCTGTGTGAATTGTCCAGGGTTAATTATTTGTTATTACACTTACCTATAGCACAGGTGTAATAGAATAGAATAGAATAGAAAATCATTTATTCAAATAAACTTAATTTAAGCACTTTTGAATAGTCATAACAATTTGTTTTTTATCTACCACTCGTTCGGAAAGCTGTCTCATCACAAGAAGAACGAGCAAGAAACTTGTGTGTTGCTCTTTTAAATAATCCTTGTAAGTTTACATTTACAAGTCGAAACGTGTGAATACAAACTACCAACAAGCACTAATTTTTTGGGTCAAATATAATCATGCAATAAGATTAAATCAGTCGTAATATCTAGTTTAGGGTATCATGGTCCTCATTTTGTATTGCGCAACTTTCTGCCATTTGATTACCTAACTAACTTCAACTATTATGTACTGCTCCTTCTTAATATTGTAATCTTGTGCTTGTACAAATAAAACATTATTATTATTATTTATTACTAGCTGTGCCCGCGACTTCGTCTGCGCGGAAAAGTAACCTAAATATAAAGTAAAAATGACTAAATGAAGAATACAAATGAAAAATCTTACCAAAAAAACAAAAATAAATGTTTCAATATTTTAGCTTCCAAAATGACGAAATTCCATACAAATTTTCACCCCCTATTTTAGCCCTTTAAGGGTAATGTAATATTTATTTATATGTAATCAAAAGCCTAAAAATATAAGATTCAAGCTTCTAGCTTAAAAAAATTACGATACTTCCATACAACCTTGCATCTCCCCTTTCAACCCCTTACAACCCTTTTTTCACATTAACAATTAGCCTATGTCCTTCCTCAGGGTGTAGACTATCTGTGTACCAAATTTCATTTAAATCGGTTTAGTAGATTTGTAAAGATTATTATTTATGTTAAGTAACCATGTTTAATAATATACTGTTTTTGAATCCATAGCGGCAGTTATCAACAGCAGGACCTCGTCTCCAAGCGATGCTGGTGAGAAGCGGAAGAGGGGCAGACCTAGAGTTGACAAGACCAGCGCCGAATATCTAGCCAGGAAGCGTGCTAGGGAACTAGGTAAGTACCTCAACTTGGAGTTGAAGGGATCTATACTATGTGCTCTGTAGTATGGTACGAGTAACAGTTGCTTCAATTAACAATTGCTAAATTTAATTTACTACAGTTATTTATGATTTGATATATTACAAATGTGGTACAGCTGTAATACTAAAAGAAATAGAGGTAGACAGAAAGTAAAATGGGAAGATGATATCAGGAAAATAGCCGGTCCAATATGGACTCGTAAAGCAAAGGACAGGACAGAATGGAAATCTTTAGAGAAGGCCTATGTCGGAAGACAAGCTGTACCGTTTATCGATAATAATATTAACCAAATGTAAAAATATTAGTATAGCAATAAAGGCTTTTTTATTTTTTTTTTTATTTACAGCTGTAATACTAATAATTTGTAAATCGCGGCAACTTTCAAGAGCGAAACGAAACTGTCACCCGCACCATGCTATACAGAAGTAGAAATAGAAATAATCTGTATTAAAATAAACTTAATACAAGCACTTTTGAATAGTCATATTTTTTTTATTCTACCGCTCATTCGGAACGCAGACTCATCACAATAAGAATGAGCAAGAAATTTGTGTGTTGCTCTTTTGAATAGATGTTATTTAAAATAAATAATTACACAATAAGAAGTAAGAGGCATGCGATCATCTACATTGAAACCGCTACGCACTCATTCTTAGTGCGGTCAGATAATATTGTCATATTGTTGTAAAAATTATTATCGTTAACGAACTTTTTAATTTTATAATAGCTTTTTAAAGAGGAAGTGTTTTATAAGAAATTATAATAAAACCCAGAACATTAGACAGCGCCATCTAGGCCGAACCTAATCAGAGCTTGTGTTGTGGGTACTAGACAATTGGTAGAAATATTCAAATACATTCTCGTAAATTCATACATAATGTACATATAAAACATCCAGATACAAGCAATCATACTCATGAATACAAATGTTTGCACCGTGCGAGGAATCAAACCAGCGACCATCGGAGGTAAGGCGATGTGCTAAACCGCTAGACCATTGGAGCCGTCAGTCATTAATGAGTATAAAATATTTCTTTTCCAGAAACGTTGAACAGAAAAGCCAAAAGGGAATACAAACGCCGTGGAGCTGGCGGTGAGTTGTTAAATATTTATTTATTTATTACTATTTATTAATAATATTAGAGTAATGGTTAATTATATAATAATATGACAATAGATGGCACTTTTTATAAATTTCATATGTCACGAACAAGATTTATAAATATGGAATAGACAACAATAGAAAATGTATCTTATTTCAATACCCATATGGTACATTTTCTTCAGAATTAGTGTAAAAATCATCTTTACATAGTATAAAAGTCACAGCCGCTGTCTGTTCGGTTATATCTTTTAAATTACGCAACGGATTTTAATGAAGTTTTCAGTAATAGATAGAGTGATTCAAGAGGAAGGTTTATATGTATAATACATACGTATTATAGTATGGAAAAAGCCGAGAATTTCAAACATTTGAAATGCATCCGTGCTATACCGATACTGATAGGTTTTTATATAAAAGCGCCATCTATCGGGAGTACTTGGTTAATAGCTAAAACTAATGCAACAGCCCTATTATTTGAAAGTACATTAATAAGGGTACACTATATTTATCTATATTAAAATATTGTTTCTAAAATAAATGTAGTCTGTCTGTTTGTTCCGGATAATCTCTGAAATGGCTGGACTGATTTTGCCAGGTAGCTAATGTAATAAGCAGTAGTATAGGCTACTTTTATTTTATAAAAATAAAGTTAAATTCCACGCGGACGAAGTCGCGTGTACAGCTAGTAATAAATATATCAGTATATATTTGCTATAAAAGTTCTCTTCAATCTATAATATCTATACAATATTATTTATTTTTTATTTTTTTGTCAGTATTTTAGCGCCAAAGTAAATTTACTTTTTTAATGTGGACTAAAGGCAACGGAAAGACATGATAGAGTTATATTTACATATTAAAATTAGCAAATTGATACAAATTATATTAAAATTTGTATATTTAACGCCGGAATGAGTGTCTCGTGCTTTACACATTTCAAGCGTTAATAAGGCTGTTGCATCATGGTACCTATATGGTTTTATATGGAATACACTGGTGTAACTTTACCATTTAAAGCTTATGGCAAAATCGATTGGGATTTCTATATATGTTTAACCCATGATAACACTGAATTCAATAGTTAATAATTTATTTATCGATACTCAGTCATTCATAACTTAGAGCTGTGCTCTTGTCGGTGGAGCTCTTACCACCTTCCACAATCTTCTATCAGTCCTTTTAGCTGTTGATACGACACGACTCCAACTTTTTCTTTAACTTGCTTGATATAGCTGTGTCTCGGTCTTCCCCTTCCTCTCTTTCCACCTAGTTTTCTTTCAATAATGTTATTTATTAGTTCGTGGTGTCGTATCAAGTGCCTCAACATTTTCCACCGCCTATTCTATAATTATAATATCGATAATAATTATCAAATAAATAAACCTGGAATGTGAACTGACTTTTATTAGATATATAAACTCCATGTACTAGTAAAAGTATGTATTATAATAAAATAACAACTATATAACATTAATTTAACTATGTCTCTAACTCAATTCACTTTAGCAATTAAAATACAACCAGCACATCCTGTGCTCAAACACCGAATGCCGCGGCCTACAAAAACCCTCCCTTTTATACAGAGAAGATATGAGTGGGGGTTATACGCAACTAGTTTAACGATACCGAGTAATAATGAAACTACCTTCTTTTAATATAAAATATCAGATTTTTCGACAATATCGATGTGAACCCTAACACTTCCTTATTAATTAATTGATTTTGTTTTAACGGTCTCTTCAGCAACGGGACCCCGGTGTCCCTTAATAGTTTACACGCTCTGTTATACTATAGTTACACCACTGTTTTCAGACCCATATGTTAATTTAACCGTGACTAATACAAGCATATTCTGATTTACTATTTGCATTGAGATATCATGCCCTAATGTACTAGAGAAACTGAATAAGTATATTTTTTTTGTCATCTGTATAACACCATTCGATTTAAACTACCTCTAAATAAGAAATGTAAACCTGAATCATTTTCACATACATAACCTGTTGTACGAGATCATAAAAGGTTTAATACCAGAATGCTTTTAATGCGTTTTCTCACGAGACTACAGCATGTGGTTTTTCAAGAAGGGTATATTAAGGTTTCTTATGGGTCGGCGCACATGACACCCCTGGTGCTTCAGGCGGCCATCGGCTACGGTAACCATTTACCATCAGATGGGCCTTATGCTTGTTTGCCACAATAGTAGTATAAAAAAAACACTAGTACAACACGGTTTTCTATAACGCGAAACTCATGTTATATTACACATTACTGAATGTTATCTAATTAAAATACATATACATTTTGCTTTATACATTCAATTTTGTCTATGTACTTCAATAATAACAATAGCGAAAGATTGTGGTTCGATCGAGTTGAGTCGCGGTGACATCACCGCAACTCAACTGTGTTTTTAATCTAGTATGTTATTACATAATATCTCAATGCTTGGTATTTCAGATCATAATATACATGTGTGTTTTCAATTGTAAATATTTCTGGTATGGTTCATTCACTTGCCGTTTTAAGTTCGATGCTCACTGTACAAGAGTGTACGGGGAATACCAAATCAATGTACAGGATGTTACCAAACCAATATATACAGGATGCTACCTAATATATCTGTAGTCCAATGGACCATATTAAATGATACATTGTCATTATGACATTCGGAGGACAAATAACTAGTCCAGAGTTTGAATCTAGTCTGCTTGTTTAGTAACTACTACTAAACAAGCAGACTAGATTCAAACTCTGGATTATTATTATATTTTAGTCGGCGCGGCTCGTCCGACTCTTACTGGACATGTGTGGCCACCCTAATACTCAAAGTAGTGGATATTTTATACATGCTCTATTATTGTTTGATTTCAAATGCTAATGACTCTTGTGTAGTGAGCGTTGATTTTTACACTTTTGTATAACAATGTAACACTATGTCTAAATTATACAAATTATATTATGAGTTATTATATAAATTATATTATAAATTATTTATATCATAAATGTATACTTTTATATAAAGTGTACAATTGTGAACAACCATCCAACCAACCATATAACAAGAGTTAATAATTAATTACCATTCAGAAGAAATGTTTTATTTGTATATTTTAGACATATATCATGACTAATTTTAATATACAGCGTGTTATAAAAAATAGTTTAGTTTTTATGAGGTGAATAGATGTGGTTACATTTGTATTTATAGTTAATTATATGACGGTATTAAAAACTTTAATTATATATTTATATTTGGAACAATTAACGAAGCAATTACATATTATTCAAACTTCAATATGTATAACGTAACAGTCACATAAATGTGACCTACTGTGACAATGTCGAGGTTAGGATTAAAAGAAATCACAAATTCCGTGTGACATAATTCATGAATGGTCCCTAAGATGTGTCACAGGCAATTCAATATAACAAAGAATTAAATATAATACTCATCAATTGATGAAAGAAAGAGGTAAAGATTTTTTAATGCCGTTTTTCTAGTACTTAAACACAACACGTATTGCACAGAAATGGCACAGAAAACCTACTCTAGAGAGTCGACAGCTAGTTAGCCATTGCAAAAAAAGCGTTTCCGTGTAGTAAATATATTCTTTCTTTTTTTACACCTTAACAACATCAATTAAAATAATTCTAAGTAAAGTTACGTAGTTTGTAATATCGAATATAACAATATGAGAAATATTACAAATTTGATTATCAACATCACTTGGGAAGAAATTAATATTATATATTTAATACTTAACTATACGATATTATATTAATATTTAATTTATTCACATATAAAATATAATATAGTAATGAACTAATGATATATATACATGATATTTCGCAGAATTGGTATTTTTAATTCTTGTAATGCAGTTGTAAGGGGTCATCCATAAATTACGTCACAAGTGGGGTTGGACAACGTGTGACAAAGGTTGGCAGTTTTATATTTCGTGACGTCACATTTCAAAATCTATAACATCTAATTATTAATATACGAAGTTTTAATGATAAGGTTTAAATTTATTCATGAGTTTACACTCTGTTTACTAGTATTACAAAATATGTGACGTTACAATAGGCGAGTCTCAGAATGACAACTGTGACTCAGCCGGCTAAAAATACGCGAAAAGATGTGGCTTGATTTATGAATAGCACTTAATAACTGTATATAATTTTAATAGCGAAACCAATCAACAAAACGGCGATTAAAGTGTCGTCGCGTATTAAAAAATTACCGCCTGGCAAAAAGATAAACACCACAAACAGGAAATTGTCGACTAAAATTGGAACAATCAGAAAAGTTTCCGACAAAAAAGTTATAATGCGACGGAATACGAAATTTTTAAAGCGAAAAGGTAAACAAATTACGTAGAGTCGGTGTGCATGTATGTAGACAGTAGAGTAGGTCGTGACGGTATAGGAGAACGGAATGGTAGAATAGAGGGAGATTATTGTTGCATGGAAACCTCTCTATCTCAAAATCGTATCTATAAAAAGAAATATTTATACATTTATGAGTGAATAAGCTGTAGCGCGATGGTTATCAACTCATCACTGTAGCATTATATCTGATGTGATGCGGTGTTGCTAGATAGTGAGTATACAGCTGTAATAGAAATTGAAATAATTTTTATTCAAATCAATCCAATACAAGCACAGTCATATTTTTTATTCAACCACTCATTCAGAACTCAGGCTCATCACAATGAGTAACTGTACTACATTAGTAAGTTTATTTGATAGTGTATAGTTATACATGGATTATTAATAACCCGTACACTCAACGCAGTCATTTAAGCCCTTTTATTGAGGAAGGCTGTAGTCTATATAACATCAAAATACGACCAATAGGAGCAAAGTTGTAATGAAAAATGTAGAAACGGGTAAATATTACGCAGACAAAGTAGCTCGGGTCAAAAAGAAAGAGTTAGTGTACAGAGATTTACTGAGGTGTTGTCAAAAAAAGGGAAAGAAACAAAATTGTACTGGCAGAGAAGTATATACACAAACTAACGGACAAGCAACCGTTGTTTTGTCATATAAATTAAAGTACTATAATCGCTATAAATAAATAAGGGTTTATGGTAGAAGGTTAAAAATTAAAATTGTACTTTTCAATGTTAAATCATAATAAGATATGGTAAAAAGTAGCCCTCCACTAAATCTCTTTTTTTACCATTACCCTTAACCTTGAGGGGTATGAAAAATAGATGTTTTTCGATTAACTGACCTTACCCGATAAGCACACAAAATATGTAGAGAATTTTGACTCTTCAGTCAATTATTGTAACAGATTACAATAAATTATATATATTTTTTGTTATTGTTGTTTTGTGATACGCTTATTCGATTTTAAACGGCGTAGTTTTAGAATATATAATAATGCGGGTATTTGGGAATGTTAGTATTCTTTTTTAATTGAAGTAGTTTTTTTCAAAATTTTTTCTACGGCATGTCGAGTAAAATTGTATGATGCTTTGAATGTTAAAATTTTATATTTATCATTAAGATTTGAATTCATATTTATATATATTTCGCTATGATATACATATACATTAAGACCAATATTTTATATATTTATACTTTCTGTACTGTATTCCCAAGAGGAGTATCAGATGCGTTGTCGTAAAAATTTTGTTATCGGTCAGACTCAATTTTACGTCCTTTAAGTTCTGTAAGTCGAGTTTAGAAACTACTAGGCACAACTTTTTCAATAATAATAAATATTTGATTTTGTTCTAAGCTAAGTATAACTTGTACTATTTGTGTATTAAACAATTGATAGAAATATTTGATGTATCTGTATGTATTTATAATACAATACAATATATATATATATATATATACACATAACCTAAAAAATGTTCCATAAAAAACTACAACTACATCAGATATTCTCCACACTATCAAATGTATTGAAAGAATTATTAATTGTTTATGTTCGATATTAGTAAAAAACATATGAAATGTTATTTAGATTTTTTATATTTATTTTTCATTTTAAACGTTACAAATTTATGAACAAACTATTTTTAAGATATGTAATTATTAATATTTTTTCTATTCTATTTAAATAAAATATCAACGAGTGTTTTGTCAGTAATCTGTGCATGGTAGATTTGATTAAGTTTAATATTTGTTTTAAGGGCATATCACACTATAATACTTAAATCTCCGCCGTCCTTGTCACATTTGGGAGAATCTTTTCGAATGTTATGGGCACATATTTTGTTTTTTTTTACCTGGCCTTTTTTTGATATCATACAATTTATAATCTCCCTTGTCACACTTTCTACTTGGTCTTCTTTTTTAATGTTTTATATATTTGACATCATTCAATTTATAATCTCCCTTGTCATACTTTTTACTTGGTCTTTTTTATTAATTATTTTTTTATGTTTTATATATGTGATATCATACAATTTATAATCTCCCTTTTCTCACATTCTATCTGGCCTTTTTTATTTATTGTTTTATTTTGTATATATGGGACATCACAAAATTTGTAACCTTCCTTGTCACATTTTTTACCTAGCCTTTTTTATGTATTTCCATTGACTTGTTATATCTATATATAAATTACCATGTTTGTATGATAGTGTAATATGCCTCTTATTGCTATAATATTAATTATGTGGAATGGTATTTACTGTATTGTGAAATATATAGATATAGTTAAATTATATATATGTATATATTGTAAGATATACAATGCATGCTATGATTTATTACTGAGGTAGAGTTTGCAATAAGTCGTCTACGTGTGTACCTCAGTCTCGCTTATTTCAGCCGATAAGCTGTCTTTTGGTTGAATGGTTAATATATATAATATATTACTTTTTAAGTTTTACAATCAATTAGCGATAGTTGACTGGTAGAGAATGCCCTCAGGCGTTAAATCTGCCACAATTTTGCGTGAAAAAATTATATATATAACAAGAAAAAGGCATGACATGACACCTTACCTGGCAATGACCATTCATGTCTGGGGAAGCCTATGGTATCATTACCACACCTGTCATATGACGGTGATGTCCGTAGTGCTGCTCATGTATATATTTAACGGTGGACAGCATGTTGTTATTCCAAATACATAAAAAAAAGTTAAATAATAAATTTGGCATTTTACAGCTTCCAAGTCCATGAAAATATAATCTCATTACAGATTCAGCAGCGTCTTCGTCCACCGGTGATACGACGCCGCGTGTGAAACGTAAATATACAAAACGTAACCCGAGCACGAAGAAAAATGATGCGGTAAGTTTTTTTTTTCTTAATTTTCAGCAGACAAAGTAGATTGGGTCAAAAAGAAAGAGTTAGTGTACAGAGATTTACTGTGGTGTTGTCAAAAAAGGGAAGAAACAAAATCGTACTGGCAGAGAAGTCTATACACAAACTAACGGACCCAGCAAACGTTGTTTTGCCATATAAATTAAAGTACTATAATCGCTATAAATAAATAGACGTTTATTTATTTATTTATTCTTTTGCACACAAAAATGTATACATGGCGGACTTAATGCCTTATGGCATTCTCTACCAGTCAACCGTCGCGTTGATCAGAGATAATAAGGCGGTGCACTTTAATAATTAATTGAAAGAAAAAAAGAAAAACAAAAATTATAACAAACAGATACAGAAAAATAATACATATATATACAGATGCAAATATGTTAATATACCAATATAAAATATATAAGTTTATGGATTACATATAAATAAAATATAAATTTAAACTACATATAATAAATATTCATATAATCTCATGGAGTTTATATAATATCATATCTTGAATACTATTAAAGAAATTTGGAATAATGTTCACGCAAGGACCTCTTCAAGGTAAATTTGGTTTGACATCTTCTAATGTGCATTAAATCATAGTGAAAGATTGAGATGAGAAATTAGAGCGATGAGAAGGAGTATAAAGCAGGTAGAAGGTTAAAAATTAAAATTGTATTTTTCAATGTTAAATCATAATAAGATATGGTAAAAAGTAGCCCTCCACTAAATCTTTTTTTTTAGTAAGTTTTTTTTTTCATAATTTTCAGCGCGCCGGATGTAATTTGTTTTTCTTTTCCATTTCGTTGTTCATTCATTGTATTAAAACAAGTAATAAATTTTAAGTAAAACTTACCGTAATATTAGTATTATTCTACGATGGCAAACAAGCATACGGCCCATCTGATGGTAAATGATTACGGTAGCCTATAGACGCCAGAGACACCAGGGGTGTCACGTGTGCGTTGTCAACCCTAAGAAACCTCACTTCAATCGATAAAGACGTTTCTGAGATCTGAGAGACCCAACGGAAAATGAGACAGATATTCTAAAAAGCATTGTTACATAAGCTATTATATATGGTATACTTGCTTTAGCCCGCGGCTTCGCTCACGTTAATTTACCCCCTTAGGGGTGGAATTTATCAAAATCCTTTCTTAGGGGATGCCTACGTCATAGTAGCTTTATGCATGCAAAGTCTCAGCCCGATTGGTTTAAAATTGACAAAGTTTCATACAAATTTTCATCCCCTATTTTATCCCCTTGGGGGTAGAATTAATCAAAATCCTTTCTTAGCGGATACGTCATAACATCTACCTGCATGCCAACTTTCAGCCCGATCCGTCCAGTGCTTTGGGCTGTGCGTTGATAGATCACTATGTCAGTCACCTTTGAGTTATATATATTTACATATACTAAAAAAATCAGGGTATTTAGAAAAAAGTATGTAAGTATTATATCAGTTGTCTAGTACTTATAACACAAGCTCTACTTAGCTTGGGACTAGATGGCGCTGTGTGAATTGTCCAAAGTTAGTATAGTGGAGGGACTCCACTATACTAACTTTGGACATATATCACACCGTCATATGACAGCTGTGGTAATGGCAGTAAATGTCGCCTAGTGCGGGGTTCATTATGTCACAATGTTATAGTATTTATATGTTTTAAAATAAATTATTATTATTATTATTATTATTGTTTATTTTACAGGCGTCGTCAAATGACAAAGTTAAAGGCAAGAGAGGTAGACCCCGCAAAGAGCAACAATCAGGCAACAATAAGTTACCTGAACAAGCGAGTGAGTTTTGTTTTATTTATTTAAGCTACACGCCCCGGCTTCACACGGGTGTACATGTATTATATATATAATATAAAACTTCCTCTTTAATCACTCTATCTTTAAAAAAAAACCGCTTCAAAATCCGTTGAGTAGTTTTAAAGATTTAAGCATACATAGGGACGGACAGACAGCGACAGCGACTTTGTTTTATACTATGTAATGATTCAAAAGTGCTTGTATTGAGTTTATTTGAATATTATTTCTATTTCTGTAGATCCCTTCAACCCCAAGTTGGGGAACTTACCTAGTTATATACTTTTGTTTTATACCATGTAGTGATTGCAGTACCACAAAAATATAAATCACAGAACGTTAGAAATAATCTTTATTCAAATAAACCTAATATAAGCACTTTTGAATAGTCATATTTATTTCTACCACTAATCCGGAACGCAATCTCATTACAATAAAATGAGCAAAATCAGAATAAATAAATAAAAATAGTTTTTTTTATGTAACTGTACGAGTTTAGTCGGAGGGCAAAGGTAGGAGTTCGAACCTCGGCTCGGGCCGTTGTAATTTCGATCCCGGTTTGAATTGGACTGGGGATCGATCGATCGGGAGGACAACTTTTATCACTTAGGGGTATGGAAAATAGATAGAAGCCGACTCTCAGAACAACTGAACAAGCTTATAAAATTTTATAAAAATCGATGAAGCCGTTTCGGAGGAGTATAACTAACATTGTGACACGAGAATTTTATGACATTATTAGCTGTGCCTGCGGCTTCGTTCTCGCACCGCACACATGAAATGAAGCCTTCAAAGATAAATAAATAATTTTCCCTGTTTTTACAACATTTTTCACTGATGCTTCACTTCTATTGGTCGTACCGTAATGTTATATAGCTAAGGCTTTAAGGAAGGAAGGGTTTCCTCGACAAATAGACTATCCAACACAAACAGAATTTTTCAATTCAAACCAGTAGTTCTTGAGATTAGCGCGTTCAAACAAACAAACTCTTCAGCTTTATAATATTAGTATAAGTATATAGTATATATTATAAAGGGGTAAAGTTTGTGAGGTTGTGGGGCATATACTGTAATTTCATTTTTTTTTATAGAGATCCGTGTGAGAAGCAACCTGATGCCTGTGAATACGGAGCCCATCACCTTGGACAGCGACGACGAGCCGGATTTAGGTGAGTTGTGTAACTACTATTATATTACTAGCTGTGTTCATGCTCATCATGCTAGTTACACCCGAGTTAAATTTCAATAAAACATATAGTCTATGTGTCATTCTGATGCATAAACTAGAAAGTTCCATCAAAATCAGTTCCGTAGTTTTGCGTGAAAGAATAACAAACATCTGTATATACAAACATTCGCGTTTATAACATTATTAAGATGAGATATTAACGGCCTCGGTGGTCTAGCGGTTTAACACACTGCCTTACTTCCAATGGTCGCTGGTTCGATTCCTCGCACGGCACAAACATTTGTATTCATGAGTAAGATTGTTTATGTCGGTCTGGGTGTTTTTTATGTATAATGTATGTGTTTATTACTAGGATCACCGAGCCAACAGTCTGATTCGTTGAGCCTGGACGAAAATCTACGAGCGTTACGGCATCTGCACGAGAAATATGCAAATTTAGATAAGGTACGTCCACATTTAGTACACAGATAGTCTAAATCCTGAGAAATGACAAAGGCTACTTTTTAATGCGGAAGAACCTTTTCATCCTCCCTTTCAACCCCTTACAACCCGTAAGGGGTTGAAAGGGAGGATGAAAGGGTGTGTGGAAGTAGCATCATTTTTAAAACTTGAAGCTTATTTGTTAGGCTGTTTATTAGATCTAAATAAAGAATAAAGGGTTGTAAGGGGTAGAAAGGGGAGATGAAAGGTTGTATAAATGTATCGTCATTTTTAAAGTTTGAAGCTTATTTGTCAGGCTGTTTATTAAATATGAATAAATATTACATTCAAAGATGAAAATAATTAGTTTAAGTATTTTAAAATGCTATCCAAAGTATTTATTCCACGCGGACGAATTCAGCAGTATTTGCTATTTTGTTTATCAAATTTCGAACTGACTGGCGCTCGGTGCCGCCAGTAGGTATAAAATAAGAATTTATATAGACTAAAGGTTGGCTGGAATAAATTAAAATTGATAATCGATGGTCCTAAATGATAATAATGGTTTTGTAGAAAAAACTCAAAATTCATAGCGCTAAAAATATTATCTGATTGCACAAAGAGTGAGTGCGTAGCGGTTTTTATGTTGATTGTCGCATGCCTCCTATTTGTTAATGTGTATTTATTTAAAAGAGCAACACGCAAATTTCTTACTCGTTCTTCTTGTGATGAGACAGCTTTCCGAATGAGTGGTAGAATAAAAATATATGACTATTCAAAACATAAAATTATTTCTATTTGTATTCTTAGGACGACATGTACGGCTCCCATCTGTTAGCGGCCAGTTTCAAGAAACCTCCTACAGAGAACTCTGTGAAAATGAACAGCCAGACTGCAAACCAGGTGGTGAGCGTCCGTGATGATGATGAAGTGCTTTCAGTCAGGAGTTCTGAAGGTAATCTTACCGTAATTAATGGCATTCTAATGGGAAAGTCAGGGGTTTTGTTAATTGTCTACATCCCGAAGAACCTTGTACATTGTTTAAATTTTTTATTTAGATAATATTTTGTTATTTAAAATCACAATACTTATTGTTTATTGTTAATAAAATAATAAATCTATACTAATATTATAAAGCTGAGGAGTTTGTTTGTTTGTTTGAACGCGCTAATCTCAGGAACTACTGGTTCGAATTGAAAAATTCCTTTTATGTTGGATAGTCCATTTATCGAGGAAGGCAGGAAGGAAATATAACATTACGCTACGACCAATAGAAGCGAAGCATCAGTGAAAATGTTGCAAAAACGGGGAAAATTATTCATTTTTGAGGGCTTCTGTTGCATGAGCTGCGTAAACGGTTCAAGTTACCCCAAAAATATATATGAACGAATTATTCCCGTTTAAATGATCTAAAAAAGGGCAATCAAAAGATAATCGCAATAGTGTTTTTGATAACCACGCGAACGAAGTTACGGGCACAGCTAACAAATAAATATATATTGAAAATATTGTAACTATTTCACTAAAATAATATCACAAGATATAAACTACGGTAACATAGTGTATATAAGAATAAATAAATAAAAGAATAAATATGTGTATGTGTTGAAAATCTGTTTCAACAAAATACTTTTCACAAGATATAAACTATAGGAATATCGTGTACACTCTCTATGCTTAGCGACCCTGATTTCAATGGAAATCCTGATCGATGGCATATTTTCCAGGCTGCCCGTCAGTCAAAGAATTGGACACGCGAGTTGAGAAACTAGAGGACAGTTCTAATTCCGACTCGGACAGCAGTACTTCTGGATCTGGTAAGATTTTTTTTGACAGTCCACAAATAAATCTATTGAACCCAACAAGGTCTAGTGATTTAGCACTCCGCTTTACTTCCGATGGACGCGGGTTTGATTCCTCGCCCTGGTGTAAACATTTGTATTCCTGAATATGATTGTTTGTAACGGTCTGGGTGTTTTCTATATATATTTACAAAGAAATATCTATGTATTTATATCAGCTGTCTAGTACCCATAACGCAAGCTATGCTTAGCTTGATACTAAATGGTGCCTATGTGAATTGTCCTAGCCCTCTGAGTAATTATTGTTATAATTAATTCGCAGGCAGTTCCAGTTCCGGATCTAGTTCGTCGTCAAGTTCGGACAGCTCGAGCTCGTCGGACAGTTCGGACAGCGAGTCGGACGACGAGAGACCTAAGACTGACAACGCGGCACCCGTCAATAACGTTAACGAGGATGATAGGTTAGAATCAAAAGTGGCTCTGGTTTTACAACACTTTTAGTGCTTATTAAAAAATCGAACTTGATGGATAAGTTTGATCATGATGGACTCGCTGGTCTGGCGGAATAGCACTCCGCCTTAATTTCGATGATCGGGGGTTTTAGTTTTTGCATAGTGCACACAATATCTGAACGTTTTCTATGTATATTATATACAACAAATATGTATTTAAGTATTTATATCAGTTGTCTAGTAGTACTAATACCATAACACAAGTTTTGCTTAGCTTCGGACTAGATGACGCCGTGTCGAGTTTCAGGTTTAATATTATTAATCATTATTATTGAAACTTTCTGTTCTCTTTATTCTTTCTGGATCTTAAAATCCGGCTCGAAGGACCGACCTTATCGAGTTCTTCAATAAAGTGGACTGTATTATGCAACGCGTAGTAACGGTACTGGTACTGCGCGATGAGGCGCCGTTGGTGATAGCGTGTGGTGTGCGTGCGGTGCAGGTCGTTCGGGTCGGAGTGGTACAGCGGCGCGCAGTCGGACTCGGACTCGGACCCCGAGCGGCTGCGGGGCGCGCTCGGCCCGCCGCCGCACCACGACGAGATCAGCGAGTCCGACAACGAGTCGCCCGACAAGAGCTTCCAGTGCCACATCTGCCGCAAGTGGTACTCCACCAGGGTCACGCTCAAGTGAGTCCACGCCCACTACGACATCTACTACTACTCGTAGAGCTTCCGGTGCCACATCTGCCGCAAGTGGTACTCCACCAGGGTCACGCTCGAGTGAGTCCACGCCCACTACGACATCTACTACTCGTAGAGCTTCCGGTGCCACATCTGCCGCAAGTGGTACTCCACCAGGGTCACGCTCGAGTGAGTCCACGCCCACTACGACATCTACTACTCGTAGAGCTTCCAGTGCCACATCTGCTGCAAGTGATACTCCACTTACCCTGTTATTAAATGGTGCTGTGCATTTGTTTATTACTAAACTAGCTGTACTCGCTACTTCGTCCGCGTGGAATTTAACTTTATTAAAAGATTTTTTTCTAAAATAAAAGTAACCTAAGTTACTCATTATATCAGCTACCTGCCAATAAAGGTCCCATCTAAATCGGTCCAGCCATTTCAGCGATTAGCCAAACAGACAGACAAACAAAAAATGTTATTTTAGTGTATGTACCGTATTTATATTCATATGCATGTAATAAAATACGGTTATTTCAATATTACAAACAGACACTTTAATTTTATTTATGTGTATAGATTTAAACACGTTTGACCGCAGTTTCACCTGATGTTAAGTGATGATGTGGTCTAAACTGTTACACAGAAGCTCAAAAAGTGCCTACTGTACAATAGTACTCTTGACTCGCCCAATGTTGTAAGAGTCAAGAAACACTGACGTTGGGAGAGAGTTCTACTCTTTTACTTCTCACATAAGGAAAAATGATACAAAATGGTTTCTACGAGCAGCAGGAATGTCAACTGTATATGGATAGAGCCACTCTCTAAGTCTTGTACTGTGGAATAGTCCTAAATTTTTTTTTTTGTTTGTAGAATCCATCGACGGATCCACCAGAACCGCGGGGGTGGCAACTCGCGGTCCCGCGCTCGCTCCTCAGACAGATACGAGTGTGACTGTTGTAACGAGACGTTTAATCGCCGCGAGAAACTTTGGGATCATAAGTGAGTAAAATTTGTTATGGTCTACTGAGTAGACCGTAAGTCTGTTGAGAAGATTGTTGATTATTCTAGTAGATTTAGACTAGTCACTCGTGTAGATTAATGGTCTTTCGAGTAGACTGTAGGTCTTTTAAGTAGACCGAGAAGACCTGTTGAATAGACCCTCAGTTTTTCGAGTAGACCATCGCTCTTTTAAGCAGTCTGCTGTTCTTTTGAGTCAAAAGTTGGTCTTTCGAGTAGACTGCTGGTTATATCAGTCTACTAAAAGTCTAAAAGTATATTTTCACTATTTAATTCAGGGCTGAGGTGCATCGTGGCACAATGACGGTGCGCTGTGAAGTGTGCCGCAAGTGTTTCGAGGATGACGCCGAACTGGCTGCACACGATCGCACACATTCTGCAGATGAGCGCGCAGGTGAATACTATATCTAATCTCTATCTGACTTTTATTTTTCTTGTTCCGAAGACGGAATATTTATATTATAGATACGTAATGTTACAATTTTCTATTAAGCTATACTAATGTTATGTATCGGAAGGACGATGATAGGTTACTTTTGTATCAATAAAGGTGACGAGCTCTTGTCTAACAGTAATATTTGGAATGAAGATTTAACCAAGAAAGATCGAGACTAAACTCGTATCTGTCAGTCGGAAGTTGCTCCGCTCCATAAGTCCTTCCTTTAGTTTGGAGTGTCATCTGCACTCGTCCTCATCGTCTGAAGCTGTAAAAGCCAGTTGCGGCCAACAGCATTAGAGTAGACCGAAAAAAAAAAACAGTATAATTTTATACTAGTTCAAAAGGCACTATTATATCTGTATGATTGAATATATTTCTATTGTTGTGAACTTAACTATGTAACACAATGCAACAACATTCTTTTTTGGTTAATTGATTTTGATTACACAATCGTGTGCAGGCCGGTGCAGCGAGTGCGGCGCGACGTTCGGCCGCTTCGAGCAGCTGCGGCGGCACCGCGCCTGCGCGCACTCGGGCTCCGCCCCCGCCGCCGGGGGCTCCGCCGCCGCCTCGCTGCCGCACGCCTGCGCGCAGTGCGGCAAGCGGTTCTCACACGCGCACTCGCTCACCAGGCACATGCAGAACCACGCCAAGCAGCTCTACAGATGCGTCGTCTGCAAGGTCCGCGCTATATATATCTATCTATCTATCTATATAATATTACACTACGATTCGAAGCAGCTCTATAGATGCGTCTCTAATAATAACAATAATATATAATAATAATACAGGACAATTCACGGTTTTCATGTAAAAAAATATAATTATAAAGCTGCTCTATAGATTCGTTGTCTGCAAGAACGCCTCTAGTCTTATCTATCTATCTATATAGTAGTAGTAATATCTTCAGACAATACGCAAAGAAATAAAAGAAGAAAAATATATAATAATCTTTATTTAAAAAAATTAAAAGCAGCTCTACAGATGCGTTGTCTGCAAGGTCCCTTCTAGTCTATCTATATATCTATGTATATGTCTATCTATATGTCTATTAATAATAATAATAATAATATCTCAAGACAATTCACGTGCTAGGATAGAACCCGTGGTTATAATAAAGCGTGTGCTAAACCGCTCAATCATCGAGGCCGTAAAATTAAAAAAATAGTAAATAATAATTATTTACAGGCATCATTCGCGCGAGCTGACCAGTTGGCACAACACCTGAACAGCCACCTCGCAAACTACAAGAGACTCAAGCCCTAAGCTTTCGCTCAGGAGTCAACACCTGAGCGAACTCAGAGCAGAACACCTGGGCCAAAGCTGAGGACTATAGGGACCGAACGGGAGCGTGCAAGGATGAAACATTTTAATGAATTACAACACATGATTATTATTATTATATTATATTAATATAGAGTTTTATTTAAATACTGAAGTTTCATTATTCATATACATCAACAAATAATAGGTAAAACAAAAATGTTGTACCCCTTTTTACGAAAATTTCATGGAAATAACTCATGAAATTTCGCACACTTATAGTTTATATAGATAAGGAGTGCAGACGCGATATTCAGACAGCCCAAAAACCTCGAAATGAAACACCACATATGAGGAAAAGAGTATAATGATATCAAAAAATGGTGTTACAAAATACTGTATATTTTTTTTTTCGGGCTACTCTAATGCTGTTGGCCGCAGCTGGCTTTTACAGCTACGTCAGGGGGCGACTGCAGATGGCACTCCAAAAAGGACTTATGGAGCGGCTGAAGGCCAACTCCTGTCTGACGGATACGACTTTAGTCTGAGAGGGCACCGCTAGGAGTTCTAACCTAGGGGGCTCAGGCCGTCGTAATTTCGATCCTGGAAATTACGACGAATTTGAATTGGACGGGGGGTCGATCGGAGGGGCGACCGGGGACGAGTGTAGATAGCACTCCAAACCCGCGGAAGGACTTATGGAACGGACGGCTGAAGGCGAACTCCCGCCTGACGGATACGACTTTAGTCTGAGCATCACTAGGGGGTTCGAGAACTTCGGGGGGGCTCAGACCGTTGTAATATCGATTCCCGTTTGAATTGGACGAGAGATCGATCGGAGGGGCGACCGGGAGCGCCGGACATACTGAGTAATGAGATTTTTACAATTATATATATCTTTTGATGAAAACGAAATAATATCGAGTTTTAGAAATAGAACAGCGCCATCTAGTATTCATTTCGGAAGTAAATTACGTAAACAAAATTTGCATCCTTTGGACAATCATTGTGAAATATATAACCTATTTGCTACATTATTTTTATACTAAAAGTCCAATTTAATTATACAGATACTATATTTATAATTAATAAATACTAGATATAGTGGCGCCCTCAACAGTGATATATTTTTAAAATTATGCATAAAAAAATATTACACTCGCTACCATGTTTTGAAACACACACGCATGTACTCTTTTCTTTATTATTAGTCTGTGGTCAAATTGTGAATAAATTGATATTGTTTGTCTATTGTCTAGTGAATGTGAAACAACCATAATGTAGTAGTAGTAGTATGTTTATTAAATAAGTTTTAACTTCTAGTCTAAGTTTTTTTTAAATTAAATATTTCCTTGCTAATAAGACTCCTTGTGGTGAGGTACCAATAATAATTTCGTACGATTCTTACAACGCCATCTATTGCTAAGCTAAGCAGAGCTTGTGTTATGGGTATTAGACTAGTGATATAAATATTTCAATACCCATTTATACTCACAAATACGGATGTTTATAGTGGGAGGAGTCTAGACTATGGAGATATCAAAGTATCGACTTACATTTAATTGAACGGTATGTCTTGGAAGTGAGGAGTGAAATAAAACACAACTTATTTTATATTTTTTATTTCGCATCATTCTTAATAACTAGTGTCATATGTATGTTTTATAACTATGTTTATGCTATAGGTAGGTACAGAGTATATTGTGTTATAACTATGAATAATATCTCATATTAAAAAAACAGTAAAATCAACGCTTAACAGCATCCAGGGATAATACGTTTTTAAATTTTCAGCCATTGACCGCTAATTACTTTTTTATTTTATTTTTGGGTTGCTAGATGAGAGCTCTTTTGAGATAAGTGTACTGAGCAAGTAATCACTACATTACAAGAGCATGCATTCTGCAAGCCCAATAAAACGTTAAAAGAACTGAATATATATTTAGGAAATCGTCTTTAATGGTAAAGTTGATTACAAAATAGGTTTTTTGCAAAAATTGCATTTTACCAGAAAAGTTTCGTGAAGTAATGTGACTGTATGTGTATTTTTTTAATTATTATATTATCTGTTAAGTTTTTTGTTCAATGATAATTATTTCAAGTTATGTATAAATTTAATAATAAATAATAACTATACTGAATTATTTTACTTCAATGGATATTTAAAACTTATCCAAAATTAATATAAAAACATTGTCAATTTAGCTATGGCTGAAAGAAAAAAAACGTTTTATCCCCGCCGTAATATAATAACGGTTATAGATCAACAAAAACATTGTTATTTAAAAACCAAATAGGAAATTGTAACACACAAACATAACAAAGCGTACAAGACTTATAATTACTTAATATACTACGCTTTTAAATCTACTTCCTTTCACTAATTTATGCGAGCTTTAAAAAAAATAACCTAACAGGGTATAAAAATAACTAAAAAATAATTGTTACTACACTGGTTTACACACAACGAAATTTAAGTAAAACTTTTTTTATAGTTTTTTTTCTTTGTGCATCGCACACGTCGATATTACCATAAATATGTATATCAGCTTATGTTTATCATAGCTGTTTTCTAGTAATCAACTGTGAATTTAAGTATAACTTTTTCATGTTTATTTTCGTTGTGTATAACCAGTCTTGGAGTATAGGGTAAATAGAAATATATCCTTAAATAGATCACATTATTCAATATATAAAGTAGCGTAAGGGTTAGTTTTTTTTAATAAAATATAAAAATGGGGAAGGTAAAATCACTAACTTCTCGTGGTCAATTTGTAAGTTCGAATAATCACATACGATTTTGTTTCAAACAAAAGCTCGGTATTTTTTTTTAAGAATAAAACGTTTAAATGTGCATTGTAAGTTATACGTTTTATGAAAATAAAACAGATTTTGAGCTGTATACAAAAGAAATCTTACCTAACTCTACATTGAGACAACACCAATGGACGGTAGAAAAAATGAAGGGGGGAGGGTAGAAATAGGGGAATTATAATAACAAGACAAATGAAACGGTGCAAGTTAAAATATTACTATTCAATCTTTTAAAATCTCCATTTTGAACCTTCATTTTAAATAGTACATGAAAAAAAATAAGATAAAAGACGTATCTTTTATCTTTTTTAATAATGAACTAGCAGTACATGAAAAGAAAAATCTACTACACATCTATTGCGTTATTATTGCTGTGTTTTATTTTATATGTTTGACATAAAAATCGACGTTTTTCCATCTTAGTTAATCAGTCATATACGCCTTATAAAATTATACACGTTTTTTATATTCTAAAATGTATTACTTCCTCTTTATATATATAAATAATTTTAGAATATAAAACACTATTTCCTTTACCACCTGGTTATATCTTGCAAGAATTACAATATTACCATTTTGTCATCCATCTTTCATTAAAATAAAAGTACTTATAAACATTAATTCCTCAATCGCAACGTCGATAATTATATCAAATACATTATAAGTAGTTTAATTTTAAAGATATTGCTAGACAACTAAAAATACAGGACCATTACAAGATAGGACCAACATCAAAACACCATCTATACGTACATTTATATAGACAGGAAGTAAAATAAAAATTAATAAAAGTCGCTTAATAGTCGTGGGGACTCCACTTTACACGATTCAAAAAATATTTTTTTTTGTGTACAAAAACAAGTTTCTTAAGCATGCGACGAGTATCTTAAGATTGGGACATTAAACTCTACAAAACATCGAAAGTCTAGCTCATTCTAAAAAAATAAGTCAAATCACTACTTGATATCGATAAATTAAAACATTTACTAAATCACGATTCACATCTCTACTAGGTACATCAATACATATATACAGTTATAACCTTCAATGTGTAATTTTCAACATCAATATTTTTCGCGCCAATTTCTTTGCACAGACTTACAATTTATTCTTAATTCGTTCCATTCTTTTTTTTAAATCGTGTATAACTTCATACATTGACAGCTTGACCGTCATAATATAACCACAGAGTTTGATTATCTACCTTTGCGTCTATACTTTTTCGAGCCATTTCTTTTATATTTTTGTAAATATTTTACTATATTTTTGTAAATATTTCCGAATTTATGGCAATTTTTAAATGTATTGTTTTGAAAATTAAAAATTAAAATAACGTTTAATTTTCAAATCAATACGGTTAATAAGAGGTTACCTTACTTACCAAGTTTACTACTAAATCGATTCTTTGTCCATATTAATATAATTCGATTTTTATCTTCGTTTCGATTTCAGTGCATTATACTCGTTGCTTCAACTTCTTTATATAAATATTGTCCTGAAACTCTACCGAATTCAAACGAACAAATTATTTATTTTAAATATAGTTTACGCCCACCATTTGTTTTAATAGAGGAATCACAGAGTAGTAATTATAAGCTAGGTACAGTTGACAAAATGAGTAATGTCACGGACTGACGCCATGATACCGTTTATGTATAGAAATTGATCCTGATGATATAAATAAGTTTTATCCGATAAATTTTATATGTTAATTAATGATTTTTAAAATTATATTTGGATAACTGCATAGTGACATAGTTTTTTAAATGCTACTTTATTTTAACAGTATCTAATCAGAGACATTGGGAAAAACTAAACTCAATTTAAATTTCGAACTTCTGCCTCCTGCCCAAATGTTGAGATGAGATGATGTTGAGAATAAGGTTATAAGTCGAATTACTACAAATTATTTAGGTTTTAATGATTTAAGTGTTACGAGATTGCTCGTTTTTGGAAGACGCCCGTATCCAGGTTTAATAAGCTTAAAAAAATCTGCTATCTCGTACATTAGCTCAATTTGGTTCTATAACCTCATACATCATAGTATTTTGACCAATTATCATAGGTCAAAACCCTCGTACCTCAGGTCAAAAATCCTGTATTTACGAGGATACCTCGTACAGCATTCCTGTTCGTATAGAACCTGTTTATGGTGGCGAAACTGTTCGATTGTTATTCATTACTTTCAACCCTATCATTAAAAACGAGTAGCGACAGTTGCAATTGACTTCGCGTGCTTTTTGAAGCACTAAATACACATTGAAGGCCATACTGTTTCATCCTTAGAGGATTTATGCAATTAAGTCTGAATTTGGTGTTATATTTAATGGGGAGACGGACTTGATATGACTTCCAAAGAAACCTAATATTTGGCACTGGTTGTGTCAAAAATGGTATATTCAACAAAAAAACAAAATTATATATGTAAACGATTATACATTTACATGTAAATTAAATGTAGTTTAATTTAATTATGCATTTAAATGAAAAATATTGTTTCATTTACATAAAGAAGTTAGATTTAAAAATAAATGAGTATATAAAAATGTTAGTAAGTTGAAAAATACAATTTTTAACACGCTGTGACAATACGATAAAATCATAATGTAATTAATAGACGACAGGATTTCTATAAGGCATTTTCAAGTTTTTAATTTTTTTCCAAGGATTTTTTATTCATTTATAGCCAATTCTACGTTTTATTATTATAATGTCGAGCATTATAATATATTTGGTGTTATAGTTTGGGACTTAAAATTATATAATATCATATCTTAATTTCAATGGAATGGACCAACAAAAAATGAAAATAAATGTAAGAATTATACATATAAATGAAACTAAAACAACACTTAAAATTTCAATAGCCTATCTAAACGATATAATGTTTATGTTATTTTGCACAATAAATTTGTATATATAATATACTTTAATATATCTTGCAATTTCACCTAGCTAACACTTTAATACTCCATTTTATAATGGAGAATCTGCCTGATTGTTAATATATTGTAATATATCTTAACTAGCTTATATTTAATGGAGACAACGAAGCCGTCTGTCTATGTAATCTTATAATAGATAGCATTTATCTATATGTATAGTTGAAGGAAGTATATAGCAACAAGAAAAAGGCAACGACTCGTCTGTTTTGGACTATGGGATGAAAATGCATCCTTTCCAATGCACGAGACGGTCGGCAGTTTAAATTATCATTATATTAACTTACGTCTACTCGGATATATATGTAATGCTTATTTTATTCACTAAGTCAAGCAATTATAGGCATAAATTAATTCATTTACTAAGAACTAGCATCATTATATGTTGACTAAAACTAAATTTGACTATCTAATGGTTTTGTCATATTTTCGTGATATAGTATATTTTTTCGTCGAGGTTCGACCTCAGTGTAGGCACGTGTTTTAAATAATGACAAAATTCATTCTCATAATCATAATTAACTTCATTTCTCGTAGTCATCTGTCGAATAATCATTGACGCTTTTTAAAATGGACTTAATATTATACTAATAAATGTAATTGCATTGTAACGGCACATGACTTTATTTTATTAAATTTCAACATACAAATATCAGTATTTATCTAAAATTCTTTAGACGATTGACATATATTCTTATAACAATTAAGAAAAGCCCTACCTTCAGTTAATCGAGTCGTATTTGCTAATTATTTAAAACACGTTACCACTTCTTTCACTTTTCCGATTGACAGAATGACAAAATTGACTGAACAATTCGTTCCTTAATAGAAATGAATTATATAATATATTTTTAATATATAAATATCTTATTATAAGTACTAACGATATGTCTCTCAAGTTTCCACTACATGCTCAAAACAATAACGCTAAATAGTAAAAAGAAAGTAACTACGACAGTCAACCGATAAATATGTCAATATAATGTATAAAATACATGTTTTACAAAATATTATATAGAATTAGAGCGGCGCAACACCGCCGCATCAAAATGTTTCAAAAAAGACAATTAGTAAACTACTGTTTTTATTTAATTTATATTCTTTTAGAACACTAACATACCTCTGTAGAGGGACACACACAAAAGTAAACACAAAATTAAACAGATGGACTGTATCCGTTGAGAAATAAACGAAAGAACACGATACAACAATCAGCCAAACTCTTTTTCAGAAAAGAACAACAACGCGTCGATTTTGAGAGATAAACCAAACAAACTGTTCTCATATCCGCACATACCCATTTTATCTAGCTACAGTAAACGATTAAATGCATCTTAATATCTATGCAATAAATATTTTTTCTTTTCACTTATCAACCTATTCAATAAATAAATCTAATATTTTCACTACATTTCGGTATTTTTTCAAAGTCATTAAAGTGTATCTATTAATATTTAGACACAACCATTTTTATAACAGTAGTTAATAAGTTTATCGTGATTTCGTTATTTTATGGTTCTGAATTTGGCATTGTCTCGGTTTCAGAAGGGAAATAATGCACGTCCAAAAAAGATGACTAAAACACCTCTCTATTATTCGTATTTTATTCTTTTTATACTATTTCTCGTCCTTACGTCCCTAGCAATCTCAGCGGATATAAAATGTCTTAAAAAACGTCTCACTCACTGATCGGAACCTTGCCTAAATTTTTCACTACAATCCTACTAAACATGTTTCCAAAAATCTACATTTTTTCCACTAATCTTATCCTATGCTTGTGCTATCAGATGTTTGGTACATTAAGACCTCATTCGTCGGAAACCGCTTCATGTTCCACAATAAAATCGCAACCTTTTTTGGCCCGCGTGACAAATGATATAACCATCGACTTATACTAAGCCTTATATGTAAATAATCTAATGTTTAAATAACTATATATTTTCTAAAATTATTCTTTATGTTAACTTTTAATGCATTTCTCATGCAGTCATAAGCAGCAGTAGAAACTAAAATATTTCGACGAGACTGACTCACATTTTGCTTTTCTCAAGAGTAAATATTCCACCCGTATTATGATGGCGAATGTAACTTATCTAAAATGTTTACTGGCTTTCAGCCGCTTACATATTATTTCATAATATTTAGCACTATCCACACACGGTCCGTATCTGCCGCTTCAAAAATCTTTGGTATAAAATAATCACATTGAAATACACAAACTAAATATCTTTGGCATAGAAAATAAACGTGTAAATAACTTTACATATATTCTCATAATCAGGCGATTATGAGAATATATGTAAAAGCAATTTTATATGTAAAATTAGTTTTAAATGTAAATGTAAGATTATGCACATAAATAAATAGCGAGTGTGCACAGAAGCGACCAGTTCACACCCAGTCTTTGTGCAAACAGCAGCAGGGCGGCTCGGGCGGTGCGGTGCGTTGACCTCACACGAGTAGACTAGGGGCCAGCCACTCATCTTCACCGATCTGGAAGTTCCGTTCAGACTACATTACGCTTTGCAGGCACTGATCAATACTATAAAACACCGGAGTCTAGAAATAGGAAATCTTTCGTATTGGTTTCATATAAAACAGTCAGGTATGAGAACCTCGCTGATTTAACAGTTTAGCTGCACCACTTTACTTTCCGATGATTATTTATTCGATTAATAAACAATAGAAACTGAGGAAGCAATTTTTTCAAGGTATCCATAAAAAAAAATCTTTCAGTAATAATGCTGCCTTATTGTATTCATATACATATATTTCGTATACTAATAAATTATATATTCATATATTGGACAATGCAATTAGAGCTTACTCTATCTATGTAGGAACATTTTTGTTCATAAGTAGATCTATTTACCATAGAAAGTTTTTATCTTTTTATGTGACACTGGCATGGAAAACAATTGGCCCACCAGATGGAATGTCAAAATTTAAATTCAAAATATCTTTATTCATGTAAGTCTATTACAGACTCTTATGATATGTCAACTCTACCGTCAGTTCGGTATGATTTCGAGATGAGAAGAACTGATAAGAAACTCAGCTCGTATTATTTTCGAATAAATGTTGTTTATAATTGTCCTGTTGCATTTGTCAATGAAAATTATCAGGGATATATGTGATTATGTGACCATCATCAGTTCATCATCATTGGTTGCTATTCCTGAGGTATGATACTGGTGATAATTCACCCAATGTCTCATTTCTTTCTACCCTATAATTTTACCGCCCCCTGCATCTCACGTCTACAAATCAAATCAAATCAAAATCATTTATTCATGTTGGACATTTAATCTGGTTATCAATGTCAAATTTTTTGTATTCATTGTTTTCCTCACTGTTCAGTTTAGTATACAGATTCAATTAAGAAGAACTGACAAGAAATTTAACTGAATTTCTTTTTTAAAAGCCATTTTATTTACTTTGTATATAGGTGTCTATGTCTAACATTAAATGAAAATCCCGTGCATGAACAACTATTGCAATGCACGCTCGTCATTCAAGTAATCGTTTAATGTGTAATAAGTTTTGCTCAATAAATATGTTTTAACAGTTTTAAATTTATTTAAAGGTAATTCCAGTATATCTTTTGGTATCTTACTGTGTAATAGAAACACAGCTTACAAAACAACCTGCTTGGCGGCTGAAATAATTGAGACTGAGTTACCCACGCTGACTTTGATCAAAGTGTACTTTGGAATTAAATGTAATAATATTGAGGAACTTCCACTTACGGGCTGAACCTGGAAGTGTTGTACGGGGTAGTGGAGCACCTGAGGGGGCTGAGACATGGCGGCGACGCCCCCCACCGACCCCACCCCGCCCACGCCCCCGCCAATCGCCCACGGGAGCTGCACTCCCCCCATCCTGAAAAATACCTTTAATTTAAATCAAGAAAAGGGGCTGTTGTTTTTTGCACTCTCCATTTTGAAAAAAGACCCCTAAATTATATTAATAAGGGAGGGGATAGCATTTTTTATGCACGGAGAGTGCATAAAAAAAGCTATCCCTGAAAAAAGACCCTTAAATTAAATCCAGAAAGGGAGGTGTTTGCTATTTTTTACAACCCTAAAAAATCCCCTAAATTACACTCAATAAGCGAGGAGATCGTTTTATTTTATACGCTGCCCCCATCTTGAGAAAAAACTCCCTAAATTAAATCAAGAATGGGAGATCATTGTTATTATTTTATAATGAATCATTCATTACTTTTTTATCACATCTTTCAGACGACATTTCATCTCAATTTGATCTTGCACGTAACCCCCTCCGACCGATCCCCCATCCAATTTAAACGGGGATGGAAATTACGACGACCTGAGCCGCGGTTCGAAGCCCTATCGGTGACCTCAGACTAAACTCGTATCCGTCAGGCGAGAGTTGGCCTTCAGCCGCTCCATAAGTCCTTCCTTTGGTTTGGAGTGCCATCTGTATTTGCCTTTTTTGAAAAAATGCGTTTTTCAATCGTTTTTTATATTTTATTAATTTCTTTTCCGTCGACTTAAACCGAAATTAATTCAAAATTCTTTCTGAATATTATTATACACGTATGTGCGGACTTATTTTTATATATTACGCCAAAACTGGTCACACCATGTTTAATTTAATATTTTATCTTCATATTTTATAAAAATGAACCAATTGCAAAATATATTTGCACATTGTGTGCAATTTGATCCAACTTGAAAGATAGGATAGCTTTCATCTCAATTTATAGTCGCAATATTATTTTATTCAAGAACCTTAGCCACAGCAACACGTGGCCGGGTTTGGTAGTTGAACTATATGACAAATGGAATTTTGTAATGCGTACCCCATGTACTGCTGCTGGTATCCTGCGAACTGGCCTGCATAGGAGTACCCCTGGACCCCCTGAACGCTTTGCAGGAACCCCCCCAGCTGTTGGGGGTAAGTGTTGTACCAGTAGGAGGTAGGGGGCACCCCGCCAGCCGTGTATGCTGCACCGAAGGGGCTGTATGCAGTACCCCCAAGCTGAAAACAAAAGAATAACCATAATAAATAAACTATTTGACCCCGCAAAACGCCATATAAATTAAAATCGCCATTAAATAATAGGGGTTGATGTTACAACTTAGATTTCTTTTGTAAATACATATATAATATTACATACAAAACATCCAGTCCAACACAAACAATTATACTCATGAATAAAAATGTTTGTAGTGCGAGGAATCGAACCCGCGACCATAGGAAGTCCAGCGGTGTGCTAAACCGCTAGACCACCGAGGCAGTCAAAAAAGAAACAAGTAAAGTCAGTTCTATAGTACCTAGTCTGTTTAGTTTTTAACAAGATGGCGCTGTGTTGTTAATTCTGTATCATTATCATCATTATATAGTATAAAACAAGGTCACTGTCGCTGTCTGTCCGTCTCTATGTATGCTTCAATCTTTAAAACTAACCAACGGATTTTAAAACGGTATTTTTTAGTAGATAGAGTGATTCAAGAGCAAAGTTTATATATATAATACATGTATAAAGCCGGGGCGAGTAGTTAGTTATTATTAATTTGCTTCAGATTCGTAATAACTGAGTGAAATGTCATTAAAGTTAAAATTTAACTACCTGACTACAGTTTGCCGAGCACAGACTAAATATTTATTAATAGTAAATTAATTGTATTACAACGTCGTTAACACTTGATTACATCCTGTAAATTTAATATGAACTATGTGTGGAAGGGGCTTGTTAGTAATGTGGATTAATAATAATTTTTTTATTCATTCATTTCAGGCATTCATTCATAATGCTTACTATAAAATTGAAGAATTCGTTAACGATAATAATGTTTTTGTAGAAAAATTTTAAATACATAGCACTGACAATATTATCTGATTACACTAATAATGAGTGCGTAGCGATTTCTATGTTGATTATCGCATGCCTCTTACTTGTTACACTGTAATTATTTATATAAAAAAACATCTATTAAAAAGAGCAACACACAAGTTTCTTGCTCATTCTTCTTGTGATGAATCTGCATTCCGAATAAGTGGTAGAATCAAAATATGACTATTCAAAAGTGCTTGTAATGAGTTTATTTGAATAAAGATTATTTATATTTCTATTTCAATGTAAGAGCTGTGCTCTTGTCGGTGGAGCCCCCGCCAACTTCCACGAACTTCTATCAATCTCTTTAGCTGTTGATACGATAACTCTCCAATTTTATTTTGAAATTTACAAATTTAAAAAAACTTATACATATTGGACTCCATACTAGGTAAGCCTGTATCGATAGATTCCAAAAGAATTGTCAGATGTTATTAACAGATCGAAATACTGGTGATTCTGCCAAGATGTTAACTAATCTGTGCCGCGGAGACTATAAAAGTATTGCCAGATCTTATATGGTTAACTATTACTTATTAAATTCCTGGTGAATTTATCACGAATTTGTAACTGAGCAGACCTCATTCTCACCTACACTGGTGCCCCGCCAGCGAATACCGTTAGTGCAGGCGGGTCCATCATTTCATAATCATTCATTAAAATTATACACACCGCCGTCTTAATAGGTTGGGGCCCTTGGACACACAAGGAATCGGGGCCCTTTTGGAAAGTAAAAAAAAGAGAAAAAAAGCTTATTAGGTATAAGAACATAGGAATAGGCGAAGTAATCGGTATAATGTCGTAGTATATGCCTTGTAAATACCTTTTGATAATATTACTGATTTGTAAAAACAGTGTATTGTGCCCGACAAAAATCTGAATAAAATTGTGGGAAAAATTGTCAGTCCTTCGGGGGCCCCCTAAGAATGGGGGCCCTGGACACGGGCCCCGTGTGCCCTTATGGTAAAGACGGTATTGATTATATATCGGCGGTTGCTCCATTACAATGCAACTTTACAAATATGTTGAAAATTAAAACAGTCACAGTGTCACAGTTACTTGCAGATTGCATTATTTTTGTTGTGTATCTATTTATATTGTGTTGCATGTTGCATATATTGTATATGTGTATATATATGTGTACATATATATATGTATGTGTCTATATATATATATATATACGCACACATAAATTTATATAGGTGTACTAGTTGACCCGGCAAACGTTAATTTTCCATATAAATTAATAACGCTATAAAAAATAGGGGTTGGTGATAAAAGGGTGAAAATTTAGGGTAATTATAAATTTAAAAATATTCCCAAAAAATAAAAAAAGATATTGTTAGGGGTGGACAACCCTTATCACTTAGGGGTATGAAAAATAGATAGTATCTGATTCCCAGACCTACTAAATATGCGTATAAAAATTCATAGAAATCGATCGCCGTTTGGAAGGAGTATGGTAACTAACATTGTGACACGAGAATTTTATATATAAAATACTGTTTATGTATGTAATATGTTATGTTATTCATTATTATTAATTTGTAATAATATTGTCATTATTATTATTATTATTTTTTCTACTCTAGTGCCACCACCTTTTCTCTATCATTATCACCGCCTATTGTACCCTCTTAATTTTAATTACTCTGTTAATTTTATTAATGGTGCAATAAAGATATAAATAAATAAATAACTCACCTGTCCCTGAGCCTGTGCGTTATTGGGGTCCCCTGACTCCTTCCCCCACGAGCACTTCACAGGCTGTCCATTGACGTCCGTGTTGTGGACAGCCACGATGGCATGGGTGGCGCTCTCTTTCGTCGAGAATCTGGAATCAAACAGAAATATGAATATTCTATACTAGCTATGCCCGCGACTTCGCGTGGAATAGACGACGAATGACAAACTTCCTTTTTTCATCCCCTATTTTATTTTACACCTTAAGGGTAAAATTTATAACAAAAATTGAATGTCATATTTATTTAATGAACAGCCTAAAAATATTTTTCAAGCTTCTAGTTTTAAAAATGACGATACTTCCATATCCGCTTTCAACCCTTTACAACCCTTTTATCGCATTAAAAAGTATCCTATATCCTTACTCAAGTTCTAGACTATATACCTATCAAATTTCATTTAAATCACTTCAGTAGTTTAGGAGTGAAACTGCGATTGAGAGAGTTAGTTACTTTCGCATTTATAATATTAGTAAGTATTCAAATAAACTTAATATAAGCACTTTTGAATAGTCATATTATTATTCTACCACTCATTCGGATCGCAGACTCATCACAAGAAGAGTAAGCAAGAAAATTGCATATTGCTCTTTCAACTAATTTTTCTTCAGAATAATATTTTTAATAATTCTGGAATAGTTCAAATAGTAAATAATAAAAGAAATATTACGAGTCTAACCCTGAAAACTAAATGTTAGTACACTTTATACGGCACTATGCATTTATGAAAATAATTATTGAGAGAAACATAGAAGGAAAGAGGGGGAGAGGACGACCAAGGCACAGCTACATCAAGCAAATGAAAGACGGAATTGGAGTCGTGTCGTATCAACATTTAAAGAGATGATGGAAGATCAGAGAAAGTGTCAAGAGCTCCACCGACAAGAGCGTCGCTTTTAAATTATGAATCAATGAACTATTGAAGCCTTAAAGATAAAAGAGTTTATTCCTTCTTAAAAGGCCGGCAATGAACTTGCATTTCCCCTGGTGTTGCTTGGGTTGATGGGTGCTTTTGGGCGGCGGTAATCACTTAACATCAGGTGAGCCGCAAGCTAATTTGCTCCTATCCATAATTAAAAAAAAAGCAAAATATCTTTATTCATGTAGGTTTATTACATACTCTTATGACATGTCAAATCTACCGTCAGTTCGGAATGATTTCGAGATGAGAAGAACTGACAAGAAACTCAGCTCGTATGCTTTTTAAATAAATGTTGTACATGTTTATAATAATACAAATTAATTTTTAAATTCAAATTTGGGAGAATAGAGTGACCACCAGCATGTGCTATTGCAAAAGCAAATAGTCTAATCAGTGTTGGTAACGAACAGACCAGATCCCACAAGCTGCATCCGTTCACGAGTATGACGGATGGCTGCATTATTGCACTCAACCATATTAGAGGGAGCACATACCTCCGGCTCACAAGTTTGAACTATAGCGAGCATGACTGTTTCAAGTTAATCCACGTCATTGATAGCATAGGACGTACCAATCACAGTTTTCACCCATTACAATATTTAATTTACATTATTTAGATATACATAAAAACAATTTTTTTCACCAACTGACCTGATGAAAGCGTAGCCCTTGTCCTTGAAGACCCTAATCTCCTGTATGGTGCCGAAGGGTTGGAAGGTCTTCTGCATCAGCTCCTCGGTGAGGCCGGTGGTCAGACCGCCGCAGTACACGGTGCAGTTGGTCGGGGAACTCTGGTTGTAGACCTCGTCGAAGGTCAACGGCTTCGAGTTCACTGGAATGGAAGGTACCGTTATAAGATTGTTTATTATTATTTATTTATACACAATTTTTCTCTTAGTTTTATTTTTTATTTTAATTTAATTTAATTTTTTGTATATCTGTTTTGTACATATATATACTGTTCAAAATCTACCCTGTACCATCGTAAGCACAGATCATTGTATTGGAGTCCGTTGGTTTCTGTTCCCGCGCTTTCATTTCCCCTCCCTTACCCGGTACTGAACTGACCGTACAGCGGCCTTGACGCGCGCGCGCATTGTGTTGTGAATTAAAATAAATTAGAACTGTGTTAAACCTACTGTGAAACTGGAAAGCTAGCGAAGATATCTTCGAAACCCTGAAGCCCAAGAAATCCGCAGAACCATACAGGTACGTGACAGACGTTTCCACACATATTTTTCCCTATATGTATACATAGTATTTTCCCTAACATTTTGGTAGCAGAGTAAATTCCCTAACAATACCTATATATAAATTGTAAATAGCTGTGCCCGCGTTTTCATCCGCATGGACTTTATAGCCTATATGTTATTCTGATATAGCTATTATATATATTACTGTAATGTTTCATCCATCCATCCATACTTACTATTATACTTATAACTATAATTTGTGCTGGTGTTCTAGCAGTTTAGCACAACGCTTTACTTCCGATGGTCGCGGATTCGATTCTTTCCAACAGTGGAAAACTTTGTACAAACAAATATAATGATGTCGTATTAGTTCTGCCATTTTCAATGTATGTTATGTATATATTATATTATATGAGTGGTAGATTTAAAATCAAAATACTATTCAAAAGTTTGACTATAAAAAACATTATCTTTACTGGTGCCATCAATTCAATGGTGATTATATAACATCATCATCACTGCATCACCGTTAACTACATAATATATCGATAAAAAATAGTTATTATGGAACATCATCTTTACTGGTTAACCAATTCAATGGTGATTATATAACATCATCATCACTGCATCACCGTTAACTACATAATATATCGATAAAAACAGTGATTATGAAACATCATCATCACTCCATCACCGTCAATTAAATAATATATCGATAAAAAACAGTGATTATGAAACATCATCATCACTCCATCACTGTCAATTAAATAATATATCGATAAAAACAGTATTATAGATCATCATCATCACTCCATCACCGTTAACGACATAATATATCGATAAAAAAACAGTGATTATAGAAAATCATCACCATTCCATAATCCACTAAATAATTACAGGCCAATCATAATAAAAATACTAAAGCACTCCGAATTGAGATCTACTCTCGCGAGCAAGTATTAAACAGTGATTTTTGCAACGTTTTATTTTTTAAACTCTCCCGTTACGGGTAATCCCCTCCCCTCCCCACCCCCCTCTATCTCTTACTCGGGTATTAAATGCTAAGCTATTGCTGCTTTAAACATACCGATGTTATATAGATGAAGGACAGTACATGGTGCGTGAGGGATAGCGGTTTATTAAAGTATTTTTTATTGTGGAATATTTATGTTTTATTAGTTTGTTGATAGAGGATTATAATTTGAATGTTATGGTCCTCGTTGACTTTATATTGTCTTGCTGATATTGCAAATGAGAAAGTGAGTATGAATGGATATGTGGACGGATGTTTGTTACTCTTTCACACAAACACTATGGAACAGATTTTTATAAAACTTTACAATAATATAGCTTCTAAATTAGAACAATACGTTGGCACGGTTAGTAATAAATAATACTGAAATCTGAAAATGAACTAATCTTTTCATTTCATCTTGAGCAGAGTAGTTGGTAATAAATTTTAGATTAGTAAAATTTTAAATGGATACATCACAATAAATAATAATTAAATAGCAATGAATAAATTTCGAGCACAATTTATCGTTAATACATCGATATTTGTATTGTCCATGTCTATAAGCAACATTAGCTATTTACCATCAGGCGAGCCGTCACCTTGCATTCCAGTTACATAATTGACTACTGAATAGACGACCTCACTAATCTGCACTTCCCAAAGGATGACAGAGAATAGAATAGAAAATTTATTCAAATAAACTTAATTTAAGCACTTTTGAATAGTCATAACAATTTGTTTTTTATCTACCACTCGTTCGGAAAGCTGTCTCATCACAAGAAGAGTCTCATCACGAGTAAAAAACTTGTGTGTTGCTCTTTTAGAGTAACAGAGCGAGAGAGCTATATCATTAAGCCCACTTTTTGTATCAAATTTTATTGGTATACAATATTAAAAAAAACAGTTAATTTTCTTCCTAGTTCTTCTCAATTGTATCCGTATACTGAGCTGGACGGTAGGGAAAAAAATTAATACAAAGAATTTGACGTTCATAAGCGGCTAAAATGTCCTACATGAATAAATTATTTTTTATTTGATTTGGTGAAAAAAGTATATAAAAAACTAAACGGTTAAATGGATCTTAATGAAATTTAACGCGAGCCGCCATCTTGTGTCCCACTACTCTCGAAAAATAGTGATAACAAATATTTCGTTAAAAATCGTACAAGTTCATTTTTAGAAATTGTAAAACGCTATCGCTCGTGTAATATTGCAGCTATCTAATACAGCATTATCGCTGCCACTCCCGCGGGGGTACATACCGATTCAATTTGCTGGTATAATGCTACTTTTTATATATCTACATATATATATATGTATATATATACAACCATACGGACTGGGAATCCTCGGAATTGGGATCCTTTTGTTGGTGTAAGCTCACTATGTATATTTTAGTTGGGTTTTTTAATTCAATTTGAATCTGTATGATTAGAGAAGCCATTTTGTTTTTATAAGACTAACCATTTCTCAAGAGTTTGTCTACTGTCTATTTTTAAACTTTCGTGTTTTATATACTTGGCAATATACTTGGCAAATTATAGTTTCCAGGGGGAACCGCGTGGAGGTCAACCTGCCATGGTACATTGCATGCAATGGGGACATTAGTTCACAAAGAAATTCAGTTGAGTTTCTTGCCGGTTTTTCTCAATTGAATCTGTATACTGAACTGGACGGTGCGGAAAAATATTCATACAAAAAACTTGACGTTCATAAGCGGCTAAAATATCCTACATGAATAAATGATTTGATTAGAGGATTATTACCTCGATTTTTAACTTGTGGTAGAATTCGTGCAAAATCGTCTATGTGAGTACATCTGTCTTACCTATTCCAGTTACAAAGAAGTTAATGTTGAGATATGCCAGTGAAATTACAGGGTACGAAAACTTGACACCCTATTCTTCTGGAATGGTAAAGTATGTACAATAGAAATAGAAATAGAAATAATCTTTATTCAAATAAACTTAATATAAGCACTTTTGAATAGTCACATTTTTTTTTCTACCGCTCATTCGGAATGCAGACTCATCAAAAGAAGAATGAGCAAGAAAATTGTGTGTTGCTCTTTTAAATAAATATATATTTACTTATATTTATTTAAGAAGAAGGATTAGGCATGCGACAATCAACATAGAAACCGCTACGCACTTAATCTCTGTTCAATCACATAACATTTGGATACACGTGGGTCACATGATATTTTCATGTATATAGACGACATTTATCGTTACTTTGTCTGTCATTTAAGCTCACATAAACCTTAAACACATATCACAGCAATGTCCTACATGATAGGTATATGATTTGATTTGATTTGAAGGAAAAACAATGACAGTTTTAAAAAAGTAAGTGATTACACTAATAAAAGCTTACGTAATATCAACAAACTAGTTTTACCTAAGTGCCGTTTGACGAAAGTCAGTAATTCGTTTGCGTAAGGTTTTACAACAAACTGCCATAATCTGTACGCAATTTACCAGAATAAATTTAAATGTCTTATAAAATATTTTCTTTGTAAAACAGCTTATTATAGAATTAAAGAATTTATAAATGATGATAATGTTTTGTAGAAAATATCTAACTTAAAATTTATAGCACTGACAATGTTATCTGATTGAATAGAGATTAAGTGCGTAGCGGTTTCTATTTCGATTGTCGCATGCCTAATCCTTGTTAATGTAAATATAATTAAAACAATATATATTCAAAAGAGCAACACACCAGTTTCTTGCACATTCTTCTTGTAATGAGTCTGCATACCGAATGAGCGGTAGAATAAAAAAAAACTATTCAAAAGTATATTAAGTATATTAAGTTTATTTGAATAAAGATTATTTCTATTTCTATTTCAATTTGACATTACTAATTCCGTTCCATTTGCTTTGATTTGATAGCAATGGTCAAACGACATTAGAAATATCAAAATACTCGGTCTTGTGACCAATACCGGGCAGTAACTGTCTCTGAACAGTAATATATAACTGTGCATCGGAAATTTGTAATACCACTTTATGACTATAAGCTGTACTTCTATTGGACAGACAGACAGATAAATCTCTACGGACGTTTATGTACTATAAAGGTTTATTCTATCTTCTTGATAGAATATGAAAATCTATTCTATAAATATTATAATTACAAATTCAAAATATCTTTATTCATATCTCTTGTCAGTTCTCATCTCATCGAAATCATACCGAACTGACGGTAGATTTGACATAGCATAAGAGTCTGTAATAGTTGACATATCATAAGAGTCTGTAATAGAGGTCTATTACAGACTCTTATGATATGTCAAATCTACCGTCAGTTCGGTATGATTTCGAGATGAGAACTGACAAGAAACTCAGCTTGTATTCTTTTCAAATAAATGTTGTACATGTTTACAATAATACAGATTCATTATAAATTCAAATTTGGGAGAATAGAGTGACCACCAGCATATGCTATTGCAAAAGCAAAAAGTCTAATCAGTGTTCGTAACCTGAACAGACTAGTCCCCACAAGTAGTATCTGTTCACGAGTATGATGAATGAGTCTGAGTCTGTGTCGATGGATGTTTATTGCTGACTTAAATATATGACAAACAAACATATGGATAGAGGTATTTTCGAAGTTACATCAAATTGTTAAATAAATATATACAGATATATATCTTCCATATGTACTTTTTATGTTTAAAAGTTTGTGTGCATTCAAGTTATATAAATAAATAATTATATTAATATCTCAGGACAACTCACAGACCACACTCTAGTCCCAAGGTAACATGCATGCATGACAACTTGGTCATCCGGAATGGTAATCCTATCACGTGATGTCGGAACCAGTGTATAGTATAAAAGATAGTAGTCTTATAACTATATGCATAAATATTCTGGAAGAAATTCTTACTTATAATGAGAGCCATATCAAAATTCGTTACGTGGTATAGAAGAAAGAACGTAGGGAAGCTTGTGTTATAGGTACTAGACAACTGATACAAATACTTACATATATTTTTTTGTAAATACATAATATACATAGAAAATACCCAGACCGATACAAACAATCATACTCATGAATACAAATGTTTGCACTGTACCAGGAATCAAACCCGCGACATTTGGAAGTAAAGCGGTATACTAATGTTAGACCACCGACGCCGTACGGTGAGGTAGTTTAGTAGTTATAAGGTAACAAACAGACAGATTTTAATTTAGTTTGTATATTTATAAGAGGCCAGTCAACAAAAACAGTATCTCGAATATTCCATATAAAATAAGAGATTCCTTTTAATCTTGTCTTTATGAATTTCAAATACAAAATCCACTTTTCGCCTTTTTGCTTAAGTACGGCACAGATTGAAATGTTAAATTTTAATATGGTAAACGCGAAAACTAATTAATACTGAATACACAACGCGAATGTCTACTCTGTAGCACGAATACCGATAATTATTTTAATTATGGTACTCTGTGCATTGCAGCACTCTATAGATATAATTATAATATCACAGAATTTAATAATAATACTATATAAAAAAATGTTTTTTGATTACCATAATTAAATAAGAAATTTTAATAAATATATCAAATTCAAATTCAAAATATCTTTATTCATATAGGTCTATTACAGACTCTTATGATGTGTCAAATCTACCGTCAGTTCGGAATGATTTCGAGATGGGAAAAACTGACAAGAAAGTCTAAAAATAAATACCCTATTACTTCAAAAAATATATTACTATTTGAAAAATTCTTAACGTGGCCGTGTTCTATAATCTGTGGTGGCGCCATAAATTAGCAGCCAACACGGGTATGTGTTTAACGAATCTGTGTCGCAGTAGTCCTGTGTAGTTCGCAAACGTATTAGTTCGATTGACCGCTCTCAATTATGAACTACGCGAACTGATTCGCAGATCCCGCTCATTAGTATAACTAATGAGCGGGATCTGCGAATCAGTTCAGTTAATGATACATCTACACAATACACACAACGTCATCTACTCCCAAGGTAAGTAGAGCTTGTGTTGTAGGTACTAGACAACTGATATAAATAGAAACCTAGAAAACCTATATACCCAGGAAACACTCAATCTAATATAAACAATTATATTTAAGACTACAAATATTTGTCCCGTGCGAGGAATCGAAGAAATTTTGCTATGGTCTATTTTTTTAATAATTAAATACTATTGCCTCACTCAATTCCTTTATTATAATAATACATATAATTAACAATATGCCAGAGATGCATTTTTGTTTAAAATCTTTACATAGTTTAAAATGAAGTCGCTACCGTGGTCTGTTTGTACCGTGATCTTTTAAACTACGCAACGGATTTTAATGTAGTTTTTAGCAGTAGATTGTGATTCAAGATGAAGGTTTATATGTTTAATACATCTACACCCGTGCGAAGCCGGGACGAATAGCTAGTTTAAAAATAAACGAGTTGCTTATTCAACTTTAGTTAAAGTAATGGTGTATCATACCATATCTACCAAGATACTAAGTTACTTGCTGAAAAATATAAGAACCCAAGGCCACAAGCCTTAAAAATGTTAATTTATACAAGAGGCTGTCAATTTTATTCATATTATTTGACTCGAGTTCGGAACGAAGATCTTGTTCCCTGAAGAGCAGCGAACTAAATAGAGCGCTCCGAGTCGCAAACTATTGTGGACAAGACTATGTCGCAGTGTACGCAAAATCTGAACTACTCTGCTCCACAGATTACTGCATTACCATAGAGTATTAAACGAATAGAACGTGCTTATACTATTTTTTCTTTTTTTTGTAACTGGAAGCACAAATTACATGACGTATCATTTGACATTTACGTAATAGTAGCTTATATATCGACATATATATATACTAATATATATTAAACCACGTCCATTATATTGCTATGACGCCCGTCATACTAGTCATGCCTTGCCCTACTATCGCTCACCCGCCAAATTCAAACGGCGATCATAATTACGATTGACTAAGTCAAGGAAAACAGCGAATAAAATAGAAGCCACTTACGCTCATTCTTAGGTGCTGGAGGTTTCCTCGTCGCCCAGTTGGTGCGGATTGACCTGGACCCCAGCCATTGTCCGTTCATCGAGGTGATAGCCGACTCGGCCTCCTGGAACCCAGAAACATAATATTAATACCCTATCCAGCATAATGAAAAAATTGTTATTATTATTGAAATGTTATTTGTATTTGTCTGTGTGTTTTTTTACATATATTATTATTATATTAAAATATTTATATACCTAGCTAGCTTGGGACTAGATGGCGCTGTGTAAATTGTCTTAAGTTTTTATTATATATTCCTTAACCTAATGCCTTTGACTACCCTGGTTGACTACAAGTAGCTATTATTATTATTAGTTAATCGAATTCATATTATTCAACCGTCATACTCGTGAACGAGTGCTGCTTGTAGGGAATGGCCTGCTCTAACCACTACGACTTGGGGTGAAGAGAATTTTTAGTAATGTGGATTGATAACCCCATTGCTAGCAATGTACCATGTCAGGTCGACCTCCACGCGGTTCCCCCTGGAAACCATCGTGTTAAATTCCTGATAAATTTGTCACGATGGGCTAACTGACCTGACCTCATGTTCATCTTATCATCCTCCACTGGTGCCCCGCCAGTGTAAACCGTTAGCGCAGGCGGGTGCATCAGTCCACTATCATTCACAAAAAAAAAACACTACGACTGATTTACTCTTATTTAGTTACTCAACCAGTTGGTTATATATTTAATATTTTCTACATTTGAATATTTCATTGCAATAGTGTTAGTTGGAAGTTTTTATTCACACATTTCAACTTAAAAACATAAAGTAACAATAAAATTATTTAAAAGAGCAACACACAAGTTTATTTCTCATTCTTCTTGTGATAAGACAGCTTTCCGAATGAGCGGTAGATTGAAAAAAATGTGATGACTATTCAAAAGTGCTTCAATGTAAGTTTATTTGAATAAATGATTTTCTATTATATCCTATTCATAATTACTTTGAAAGTGTTTAAAGTAATCTTAAAATGATTGTGTACTAGAATGAAAGTTAGCTATTGTGATGAATAAATGATTATATTGTAAACCAAAGTTTATAATATATAACTTTTAAATAGGTTTTATTGTTGTCTTCACTTCCACAATTAAGTAGGGCGAAATAGGTCGCCCTAACAACGAGATGGGGCATGCCCAACACCATCTACAGAGCAGGTCAACACCGCCATGACAATTGTTAGTAATTTGGACTGATGATCTTATTGAAAGAAGAAAGAAAGAAATGTACCATGTTAGGTTGACCTTCGCGCGGTTCCTTCTGGAAACCATCGTGATAAATTTCCATTTGCCAAGAGGAGCTATGTGACCTGACTTCATGACTTCATGCTTATCTTATCATCCTTCACTGTGCCCCACAAGGGTGCCCCACAAGGGTAAACCGTCAGTGCGTGCGGATGCATAATTCCTTTATTATCCATAACAAATAAAAAAACCCGCTGGAATACGGTGGCCCCTCCACATTGGTAATAATGTGGATTGATAACCCCAAAGTCTCATGCATCATGCTCATCTTATCATCCTTCTCTAGTGTCCCGCCCGTGTAAATCGTTAGCGCAGGCGGGTGCACCATTACATAATCATCCATAAAAAAAAAGTCGCCGTAGTGGGGGAAAGGGGATTGGTAATAATGTGGATTGATACCCTCATTGCTACCAATGGACCATGTCTGGTTGACCTCCACTTGGATTCCTCTGGAAACCATCGTGACAAATAAACTAAGAATTTGTCACGATGGTTTTCTGCCTGCTAACTGACCTGAACTCATGTTTATCTTATCATCCTCCACTGGTGCCCCGTCAACCGTTAACACACGCAAATGCACCATTCCATTATCAAAGAATTAAAGAATTTATTAAAACCAAAAAGAAAGTTATAACAATGACATGTTAAACGTAAACAACTACATTAGTTTATGAAAACTGTGTTGCAGTTATTTGCGCCCATCTCCAGAGCATCGTATACAATTGAAAATAAATGATGTTGTGAATTAAAATAAATTAGAACTGTGAAACCTACTGTGTTAAACCTACTGTGAAACTGGAAAGCTAGCGAAGATATCTTCGAGACCCTGAAGCCCAAGAAGCCCGCAGAACCATACAGGTACGTGACTGACGCTTCCACCTACATATATATATACATAGTAAATTCCCTAACATTTTGGTAGCAGAGTAGTTTCCCTAACAAATGAATATACTTAAAAACATTTAGAGAAAGACAATGTATATAAAATAAAATAAATAATACTTATAATTTATGAGCATTAGAGCGTGTGTGTGTATGTATGTATTATATGTATCATCACAGCTCTTTTCAGCTTGAAATCATTCCGAACTGACGGTAGAACTGACATATAAGTCTGCAATAGACCTACATGAATAAAGATATGTTGAATTTGCAAGGTAGACCATGAATAATGGAAAGATGGAAGTTTGTTATATAATTTTGGAGTCATTACAAATCAAGATGGCGTCATGGTTCTACAAACTGACGTGGGATATCGTGAGAACAGCAATGAGGTGGTAATCGATTGGTATTTAATAGCACGTAAGTTGCTTGTTTCCCAGGGTATTTTATTATGTAATTGTAACGACTTTCTATGCTGCAGGATATGTGTTCCACCAGTTATAATTCAGTGTTCGTTCTGATTACAAAATGACCTACCCATTTTGTAATCAACTGGACTAATACTACAACACAACTACAACTACAACTAATAGACTGGGTTTATTGCGACACACATGTTTTTACAAATGAGACGTGCAGTGTTGCTTACGTCTAGGTGCAGACTGGCGTTCTTTTTATTATTTTTTTTCGGACTACGTTAATGCTTTTGGCCTTTGGCCTTTGCAGCTTCACTGGACGATAGGGTGCGAATGCAGATGGCACTCCAAAACCCGTGGAAGGACTCATGGAGCGGCTGAAGGACAACTCCCGCCTGACGGATACGATTTTAGTCCGAAGGCACCGGTAGGGGTTCGAACTTCGGCTCAGGCCGTCGTAATTTCGATCCCCGTTTCAATAGAACGGGGGGTTGATAGGATTTCAAGGGGATTAAGATGTCATGTTGATTACCTTGTAATTTTACAGATTACAAAACAAGCTGCTTAGTGGCTGAAATGGGTGAGACAAAAATGGTCGTGAGTTTTAATCCGGCCAACATTCCATTAATTTTGTGAATTTATATTTGTCGGTCTCTATGGTTTAGTGGTTTAACACGGCACCTTACTTCCGATTATCGCGGGTTCCATCCCTCACCGAATAGTTTTCATGTTCGGGATTTTCATTTAATGTTAGACATAGACACCTATATAAATACCTATGCATTGTAAATAAACTGGATTAAAAAAAAATAATTCAATTGAGTTTCTTGCCAGTTCTTCTCAATTGGATCTATATACCGAACTGGACGGTAGGGAAAAAAAAAATTATAATGTAAAAACTTGACGTTCATAAGCGGCTAAAATGTCCTACATGAATAAATGAGTTTTGAATTTGAATTTGAATTTGAATACACAGATTTGTATTCATGAGTATGATTGTTTGTAATGTTTGGTTTTCTGTGGATATTATGTATTTATTTACATAAAAATCTATCTATATATTATATGAGTTGTGTATCTAGACACAAGCTTTGCTTAGTTTGTGGCCAGATGGTGATTTAAATTTTTGGCGAAAATCAAATTTGAAGTTATGACCGGATCGAAGTCGGGTATAATCCACTGAGACAGGACGGTGTGAAATTTTTATTTTCTAGCATATAAATATGCTACATCTACCACCTTCTGTCTCTTCTCTTCTATCCAAAGTTCTCTGCAAGAGATTGCTTAAGCGACAAGGTTGCCATTTGTATCTTCATTTATACATATAAATAAAATTGGAGTGTTTGTTTGTAATATTGAAATAAACGTTTTTTACTACATGCATATGAATATATAAATACGGTACATACACCAAAATAACATATTTTACAATTTTGACTGTCTGTCTGTTTGTTTCGGCTAATCTCTGAAGAGGCTGGACGACGACGATGCTGGCTGACGATTTTGACGGGCCTTTTACTAGCAGGTAGCTGATGTAATAAGGAGTAACTTAGGCTACTTACATTTTAGAAAATTGTTTTATTTTAGAAAAATAAAGTTAAATTCCACGCGAAACACGCGGTCACAGCTATACTCTATAGATTTTGTTTGCAAAATTTAATTTCAGATGCAATAGAGAGAAATATAACTTACAGTTTTTTTCAGGAACGAAACAAATCCATAGCCCTTGGATTTCAGTGTTTGTGGGTCTCTCACCACGCGGCAATCTCTGTAACAAACATAAATATTTTTTATTATTCATAATTTTCATATGCAGACGAGCATAGTGGCGACCGAGGACCGGAAGACGCAGAGTGGGAAGGCCTCCAGCAAGGTGGACCGACGATCTGGTCAAAATCGCTGGAAGGCGATGGATGCGAGCAGCACAGGACCGATCGTCGTGGAGATCTTTTGGAGAGGCCTTTGTTTAGCAGTATACGTCTTCCAGGCTGAGATGATGATGATGATGATGATATGCATATATTATGGCGAAAAGAGTAGAATAGAAAATCATTTATTCAAATAAACTTACATTGGAGCACTTTTGAATAGTCATTACATTTTTTGTAAACTACCGCTCGTTCGGAAAGCTGTCTCATCACAAGAAGAACGAGCAAGAAACTTGCGTGTTGCTCTTTTAAATAATTTTAATATTACTTTACATTATCAGTAATTTCAATTTTAATTTTGTATTGAATTAATTAATTCAATTCATAATTAGAGAATAGAGTGACCACCAGCATATGCTATTGCAAATCTGTTAAAAGGAAATAGTCAATCGTTGGCAGTAACCAGAACAGACCAGTACCCACAAGCAGAGCCCGTTTATGAGTATAATAATAATAACATAATAATCTCAGGACAATGCACACAGCGCCATCTAGATCCAAGTTAAGGTAGCTAAAGCTTATTTATTTATTTATTATTTTGCGTACAAAATTGTATAAATGGCGGACTTAATGCCTGATGGCAATCTCTACCAATCAACACTCGCGTTGATCAGGGATAGTATGGAGCTGCAATTTTACAGGTATTAAATATATTAATACAGGAAATATAGGTATATCTATAAACGTACAAATATACTTCTAAAATTATATAATTACATAAATAAGCGAAATTTATATGCTTAAAGCTTGTGTTATGGGTACTAAATGACTGATACATATACATAGTTATTTCTTAAATACATACATATTATACATAGAAAACACCCAGCCCGATACAAACAATCATACTCATGAATACAAGCGAGGAATCGAACCCGCGACCATCGGTCGTAAAACGGTGTTGTAGATCGCTAGACCACCGAGGTTGTCAAATGTATATATATATATATATAGTATGATAGAAGTTATTCTATTCTCATGTTGATAGTACCAGACTACGAAAAGCTGTACATTCAAAGTTAATTTAGTTAACTTGAGCAAGAGGCTTTAAAACTTTATATGACATTGAAAAATTAATGGTCCGTGAAGATTAAGCTTTTTGAAGGCATATGTGCTTAACTTCAGCACTTTATACGTAAGCTTGTCTCACAAACTTAGTCATATTACGAAATAAGTTCTCGTAAATTGGCAGATATTTTGATTGGGCGATATCTCTTCTTTTTATACTAGTATGGTGGCAAACATGCATACGGCCCGTCTGATGGTAAATGGTTACCGTAGCCTATGGACGCCTGAAACACCAGGTGTGTCACATGCGCGTTGCCGACCCTTAAGAAACCTTAATATACCCTTCTTGAAAAACCCCATGCTGTAATCTTGCGAGAAAACCTCGGCAGGTAGTTCATTCCATAATCTAAGTGTACGCGGGAGGAAGCTCCTCTGAAACCGCACTGTCTTTGTGAAAGCCGCAGAATAGAATAAAAAAGATTTTTTTTTCAAATTACGTATCAAATATTTGACGGCCTAGGTGATTTAGTGGTTTAGCACACTGCTTTATTTCCGATGGTCGTGGGTTCGATTCCTTGCACGGCACAAACATTTGTATGATTGTTTGTATCGGTCTGGGTGTTTTCTATGTATAATATGTAAGTATTTACAAAAAAATATATATCTAAGTATTTATATAAGTTATCTAGTACCCATAACACAAGCTGCTCAACTTGGATACTATATAACTTATAACTAGATGGCGCTGTGTAATTCACACAATTTCTGAAATTATTATTATCATTACATAGTATAAAACAAAATCGCTGCCGCTGTCTGTCCGTCCCTATGTATGCTTAAATCTTTAAAACTACGCAACGGATTTTGAAGCGGTTTTTTTCTAATAGATAGAGTTATTCAAGAGGAAGGTTAATATCTCTTTTTGATTATACCACTCATACGGATCTGAGATTGGACAATAGATGTATGAGCAAGAAACTTGCGTGTTGCTCTTTTAAATAAATACACATTAACAAGGAGCAGGCGTACGATAATCGATATAGGATTTTATGCAGTTTTTAGCAATAGTTAGTGATTTAAGAGAAAAGTTTATAAGTATAATACATACGAAGCCGGGGCGGGTAACTAGTACATATATAAAGCGGATTATTTATATTTTGATAAGCACGTACTTTTTAATCTTTAATATTTTCCGTAACTTTTCTGCTATTATTTATTTATTTGGCATGGACATATTTAATTAACATATTTTTATTACAAAAAGCAAGAAATATTAAGTGTTGAAGGTCCAAGGTAATTAGATAGAGAAAATAAAATAAACACAGATAAAAAATGTTCCATAATTTTTATGCCGGATTATGGCTGTATGAAATTCGTTCATTTGCCTAAAACAATTTATAATATTGTAGGCATTATTTTCTATGTATTAATGTACTTACTGTGTACTATCTATACATATTAAATAAAATTGGAGTGTCTGTTTGTAATATTGCAGTAACCGTTTTTTACTACATGCATATGAATATAAATACGGTACATACACCAAAATAACATTTTTTTACAACTTTTGTGTGTTTTGTCTGTTTGTTCCGGATAATCTCTGAAATGGCTGGACCGATTTTAACGGTACTTCTATTGGTAGGTAGCTGATGTAATAAGGAGTATCTTAGGCTACTTTTATTTTAGAGAAATAAAGTTAATTTCCACATGAAGTCGCGGGTACAGCTAGTTTCATATAAAAATTATACATTGAAATAAAATCTAAGTAAATCTTATAGAAATAGAAATAGAAATAATCTTTATTCAAATAAACTTAATATTCGGAATGCAGATTCATCACAAGAAGAATAAGCAAGAAACTTGTGTGTTGCTCTTTTAAATAAATATTGATTTACTTATATTTAATTAACAACAAGGATTAGGCATGCGACAATCAACATAGAAACCGCTACGCACTTAATCTCTGTTCAATCAGATAACATTGTCAGCGCTATGAATTTTAAGTTAGATATTTTCTACAAAAACATTGTTATCATTTATAAATTCTTCAATTTTATAATAAGCTTTTTTACAAAGAAAATATTTTATGACACATTTGATTTTTTTTCTGGCAAATTGACTACAGACTCTGGGAGTTTGTTTGTTTGGTTTGTTTTATATTATAAAATTCTCGTGTCACAATGTTAACTCCGAAACGACTTGACCTTGTTTCGTGAAATTTTATACGCATATTCAGTAGGTCTGAGAATCGGCTACTATCTATTTCTCATACCCCTAAGTGATAAGGGTTGTCCACCCCCAAATTTTTTTTTTTGTTATATATATAATGTGGCATTAAAAATCCATACCACCCTAAATTTTTACCCTTTTTTACCCTTCTACGATCAACCCCTATTTATAATAGCGATTTTAATTCATATAGCATCAAAACATTTGCGGGGACAGCTAGTAAATATATATAAAATGCAAGGTGTCATATTCTGTCTGTCAATGTCACAGTCAGATTGGTATTTATTATATGACTACCTCGGTGGTCTAGCGGTTAGCCCACCGCTTTACGACCGATGGTTGCGGGTTCGATTCCTCGGACGGCATGAACATTTGTATTCATGAGTATGATTGTTTGTATCGGTATGGGTGTTTACTATGTATATTATGTATGTGTATGAACAACTACTGCCATACACGCTCGTCATAGGCATAGTCCTTTTCATTCAAGCTTGAACGAAGAAATATAGCACTATAAGAAAAAAACCTTTGCCTCTCTAAGTGAATATTAAAAAAATGAACACTTTATAAAAATATTAACATTGAGTTGGAGGGAAAGGAATTCTTAAAAAAAATAAATCGTTGAATGACAACGCAGTGCGTCCCTTTTGCACGTAGGGTTGTATTCTGCTGTCTTTGTCTAACGGAGTGGCAAAGGAGCTAAATTTTTAATGCTGTACCATAAAAGTTTACGAGCCCCAGTTGAAGTGGTTTCGTGATAAGGAAATTTCACCAGTCAATATTAAGCTTCTAGACTAGTTTGTCACGCGGCATTGCTCAGTTTTAATATGTATCTTACTAATATTATAAACGCGAAAGTTTGTTACTCTTTCACGTGAAAACTGCTGAACGGATTTTCATTAAACTTTGCAGTAATATAGGTTATACGTCAGAGTAACACAGGCTATATATTTCATGCGGGTGTAACTGCGGGCATAGCTAGTACACACACTAGTTTGTCACGCGGCATTGCTCAATTATAATGCACATTAATATTACAAAGTTATGGTTATATAATGTAGGTACATTTTTCAAATCGTATATAGATATTTTTCAAAGAATTAAAAATTGATCTACATTATATACATGGTATATATTAGTTTCATGTTGTTATGTTTTAAAATACTTATTACCTTTGACGACCTCGGTGGTCCAGCGGTTTAGCACGCCGCCTTACTTCCGATGGCGCGGGTTCGATTCCTCGCACGACACAAACATTTGTATTCATGAATATGATTGTTTGTATCGGTCTGATCTTTCTATGTATAATATATGTCTTTACGAAAAAAAATCTATGTATATGTATCAGTTATCTAGTACCCATAACACAAGTTTTAGCTAGCTTAACTTGCGTCTAGATGGCGCTGTGTGAATTGTCCTGAGATTATTATTAACGCCAAACATTATGTTGGTATATTCGATATATTGCTTGTCTATGGTCGAAATTAAATTATGATCCGTGTACATGTACATATAGTATATGCAGTTACGCGCTATAAGTTTGCTTGTTTGTTTGATTAAATTAATAACTACCTCCATTTTTAAGAACATTTTTAGCCTATATGTGGACCATTACTTAAGAAACTCTTTGAAAAGTCCATCACTATTTCATCAATCACTCTATCACGAAAAATACCCGTATATTTTTTTGTCGCAGGCTCAAATATAGACGAATTCTAACAATTTTCAGTTATCATTATTCACTGTTTAAAATTACACAGTAAGTATTATATAATTTGTAATTATAAATTGTTAATATAAAAAACGATAGATGTGTAAAATTTATGTACTTTTCTTAAAAATTCATATCATTAAACATTTGCGATTTTATTAGGTCCTATCTGACCCCACGAACTGGGGTCCGCCTCAAAATTAAATATGTCAAAGGTTTTTTAAAGTTCATTGATGATGGTGATGGTGATGAAACTTATTTCAATACAATTTAATCAACGATTTAGGAATCCATAGACAACAAATCTAGAAACATTATTTTTTATTTAAAGACTGTATTCAAGTCGATATATTCCTTGTCTATGGTCATCGTTCCACTAGAGTGGCCATCACTGATGTTATACCATTGAAAATTGAATTACGATCCGCGTTCCATTTCCAGCTATGTAGGAAATAGTTAGCATATAATAATATGTAAACATTTCTATTTTTTTTTAATAATCATTTAATTAAGTATGTTTTAATCCATAGACAACAAATCTAGAAATATTAATTTAAATTTATACGACTGTATTCAAGTCGATATATTCCTTGTCTATGGTTACTGTTCGATCAGAGCGGCCATCACTGATGCTATAAATCCATAGACGACGAATCTAGAAATAATAACTTTTATTTATAAAGATTGTTTGTATTCGATTCGATATATTCCTTGTCTATGGTCATCCGTTCCACTAGAGCGGCCATCACTGATGCTATATCATTGAAAATTGAATTATGGTCCGCGTCCCCAATTCCAGCAATGTATACTATGTCAATACCTACTACTAGCATTTGGCTGACAGACATGAATTCTGGCGGGAACTCCATTTGATAGGCTGCGGTTTGACTGATAGCGGAATTACAGGAGACAGCGGATAATACGCGATAGCGGGTAGGTACGTAACTAGAGGGCTCTTCAGTTCAGTTACAAGGGCAAGATTGTTTCATAATTCGCAGATTTTGCCAAGCTGAAGAGGAAACGACACAGTAAACTACACCTACTATGTGGTTGTAGCCCACTCATGCGTAAACGAAATATCTCCTTTGGAAAGTTTACACTCTTTCCCGAGGAGATAAAAACCATCGCTCCTAAGAATATTAAGAATTCTTGTGGATATAGTGTAAAGTTTTCAAAGGAGATATTCCATTTACGCACGAGTGGACTACAAACTCATATAATGTGTAGTGGCGTTTTGTCTTCAGCTTGGCTAAATCTGCAAATTAAGAGACAATCTTGCCATTGTATATTATTCCTAGCATAGCACTGTTTTTTTCTTTTGTGTTTACAGTAAAGAAAAAACAGTGACTTTGTTTATAAATCAAAAATGACGGAGAAAACAAACGAATAACTTCATTTAAAGCATTTCATCTTATCCTTTCACTTCCCTCATCCTGGAGCTGATGTTACAGAATATAGGAATACACAATACGGAATTATAGTGGCCATCCTATGCGCTAAATATCAAATCCAGGGGGGTAAAGGATTATAATATCGTAATATAATATTGACATCGGAAAATTGATAGGTTCGTACTGGGTACAACCGTACAGTGATCTGACTTCGCTGACCTTGGTCGTCACGCTCCATGCACGTGGTCAACCTTTTGTGTGACTTCAAATTCCAGCAATTTACTAACAGACCATCAAAACACGGTGGCATATTGACTATTCTATATCTTCATTTGTTTTAGAGGTTTGAAAAGCGAAGATAAAATTATTAGTAATGTGGACTGATGATCTTATTGCTAGCAATGCACCATGTCAGGTTAAACTCCGCGCGATTTTTCCTGGAAACCATCGTGATAAATTCTTGGTGAATTTGTCACGATGGGCTAACTGACCTGACCTTACGCTCATCTTATCATCCTCCACTGGTACCCAGCGTAAACCGTTAGCGCAGGCGGGTGCACCATTCCATAATCTATAGATATAATTAAAATTGGAGTATCTGTTTGTAATATTGAAATAACCGTTTTTTACTGCATGCATATAAGTATACCACCAAAATAACATTTTTTAGAATCATAGTCTGTCTGTTTGTTCCAGCTAATCTCTGAAAAGACTGGATCTATTTTGATGGAACTTACATTGGCAGGTAGCTGAAGTAGTAAGGAGTAATTTAGGCTACTTTTATTTTAGAAAAATAAAATGGAGACGAAGTCGCGACTACAGTTAGTCATATATAAAAAAATCAAATCCGCTCCGCTACTCTACGCTACGCTCCCCGCTAACAGTCACACCATACGACGTCTGGCTTCGCTCCAAGTAGGAAAACCTACGTTTTGTTTATTGTCTGGCCATGGTTTAGTATATCTGTATACATTCATGGATATATTTACTTGATTAGGTTTATACTAACAATCTTACAAACGCTTCTAGATTCTTATTTTGTAAGGAGAAGAATTGAATACAGAAATAGAAAAAAAATGAACATATTATATTTCCGATGGAGATTTTGTACTAAATCATTACATAGTATAAAACAAAGTCGCTGTCGCTGTCTGTCCGTCCCAATGTATGCTTAAATCTTTAAAACTACGCAACGGATTTTGAAGCGATTTTTTTTAATAAATAGAGTGATTCAATAGGAATGTTTATATGTATAATGTATGTACACCCGTGTGAAGCCGGGGTGGGTGGCTAGTAGTCTATATATTATACTACGTTTTACCTATTTCAGCCACCAAGCAGTTTAAATAACCATATATTAATACGTGCAAGCAAGAACTTTGTACCCCTTTTTACAAATATACGCGGACGGAGGTGTATAAAATTTCGCACACTTATCTATATGTAATCTATATATATAAAAAGAATCGCTGCTCGTTAGTCTCGATAAAACTTGAGAATGGTTGAACCGATTTGGCTAAATTTTAGTGTTGAAATATTCGTGTAAGTCCAGTTTAAGTATGAAGAAATTGGATATAAAAACAATAATTATATTTTCCCATATAAGCTACTGATCCTAAACTGTCAAAAAGGGTGCGTTCAGAAATTGACATATTTAATTTTGAGGCGGAACGGAGTTTGCAGGGTCAGCTAGTAGTATATACTCGTATATGTAGAGAAGGGGTAGAGAAAGCTAATATTTTATTTTATTCTTAAATTATGCTTAAAAATACACAAAATCAAAATAAAAAAAACATTATACACACTACCATGTATTTGACACACGCATATATACTCTTTTGTTTATTGTTAGTCTGTGGTCAAATTGAGAATAGATTAATATTGTTTATCTTTAATATTATTTGTCTTACTGAATGTTAAATTAATTATGGATGAATATTAATCTGTGGGATCACTAGTATATATATAGGCAATAAGCCCTTTCCAAGAATTGGTTAAGACTCAAAAAGTTATATCCAAATTCGTCTGATAGTTCTAGAGTTTACTAATAATAATAACTGTTCGCGCCTAGAAACTATCATCTGGTAATTTTTAACAATTTTAATTAGAAACTATCATCTGGTAATTTTTAACATTTTTAATTTATGATTCAAGAAGAATTGAACAGCAAAGTCATTCAAATACTTTGTCGTTTGCATCCATCTATACATATATACGCATTTTATCATCTGGTAATTTTTAACAATTTTAATTAGAAACTATCATCTGGTAATTTTTAACATTTTTAATTAGAAATCAATCTGGTAATATAAAGCTATCATTTTTATATAATTAAAGCATCTGGTATTACAATTTTAATTAGAAACTATCATAATAATAATAAATATACAAAGCAATAAATCTAGTATTGAACAAGAAAGAGTTACTCTTCATAATCCTTAAGCTCCAGATGTCATCGTAGATAATAATAATATGTCAAGACAATTCACACAGCGCCATCTAGTCCCAAACTAAGCAAAGCTTGTGTTATGGGTACTAGACAACTGATATAAATACATAGATATAATGTTTTTTGTAAATATAGAAAACACCCAGATCGATACAAACAATCATACTCATTGTTGCAAATGTTTCTATTGATGAAGATCATGCGAGGAATTACATAAACCCGGGACTATCGGATGTAAAGCGGTGTACTAAACCTGAAGCTGTTCATATATATCATTTTTTCTTCGGCCATCCTCTCCCTTTACATTTCATCTTTACATTTCATCCAAGGTCAAATTAAACAATATTCTTGAATTAAGAAAGAGTTTAAAGAAATAACTTACGATATTTCACCAAATGGTGCGAACGCATCCCTCAGGCTTTGGGTCTCGATTTCTGGACTTAAGTCCCCGACGAAGATGTGGTAGTGCTCTGAAACAAACACATAGATAAACATTAATATATAGATTTATAACTGCCTTTAGACGTACGCTTTTCGTACTTCATGCAGGAAAGAATTAGCTGTTTTTTCGGACTACTCTAATGCTGTTAGTCGCAGTTGACCTTTACAGTCTGTACCTACTCAATTTGCCAGAAAAAAATTCAAATGTGTCATAAAATATTTTCTGTGTAAAAAAGCTTATTATAAAATTGAAGAATTTATAAATAATAATAATGTTTTTGTAGAAAATATCTAACTTACAATTCATAGCGCTGACAATGTTATCTGATTGAACAGAGATTAAGTGCGTAGCGGTTTCTATGTTGATTGTCGCATGCCTAATCCTTGTTGTTAATTAAATATAAGTAAATCAATATTTATTTAAAAGAGCAACACACAAGTTTCTTGTTTATTCTTCTTGTGATGAATCTGCATTCCGAATAAGCGGTAGAATAAAAAAACTTGACTATTCAAAAGAGCTTATAATAAGTTTATTGAATAAAGATTATTTCTATTTCTATTACAGCTTCAGCGGACGATAGGATTTGAAGATGGTACTTCAAGCCAAAGGAAGGACTTATGGAGCGGCTGAAAGCCAACTCCTGCCTGACGGATACGAATTTCGGAGGGTTCTGTGACACCGCTAGGTGTTCGAACCTCAGCCCAGGCCATCGTTATTTCGATCCCTGTTTGAAATGGACGGTGGATCAATCAGAGGGGAAAAGAAGCATGTGAATGTAGACAAAGAAATTGAGTAAGACTGCTCGCGCATACAGTGAACGCATTCCCGCGTACAACAACCATACGAGTTTTAGCGCCATTTTGTAAAATTATCATTTCAAAATGGCCGTCGCGACATCTGACTATAGAAGTAAATATAATTATATAGTTCACTTATTTATTTACTCTTTATTGCACCAGAAGTATATTATATAACATAAATAGAGGTAATAAGGTACATAAGGAAAGAAAGAAAGAAAAGAAAGAAAAATAAGGCGGTCTTCCAGACAACTTTTAGGTAGAGGAGAAAGGATAAAATGGTAGATGGCGCAAAATGGACTAGAGAAATAAAAAAAGAGTTATTGATGAAAACATATGTTTAGAATATAATCTGTGGACTATGAAATAACACTTTAAACATTTTAATCCACCGCATCGCTCTAGTATGTTTAAGACCATTGTGTTTGTGCCATTGTGTTGAAGCAAGTCGCTGGGACCAGGAGACACCGATTAAAAGTAAGATAAATGATATGCGAGAACAGTAAAATTTTTTTTCTAAAATAAAAGTAGCCTAAATTACTGCTTATTACAACTACTTGCTAAAAAAAATCACGTCAAAATCTGTCCAGCCATTTCAGAGATTAGCCGGAACAAACAGACAGACAAAAATTGTAAACATTGTTATTTTGATGTAAGTACCGTGTTTATATTAATATGAATATAGTAAAAAACGGTCATTTCAATATTACAAACAGACAGTCCAATTTTATTTACATGTATAGATTGTCTGTCGAACTTTTTAAGGAAGAAACGGCTGAATATTATAGAAGTTTGGTGAGAAAATAGATTTTTATCTCTAGGCAATCTTTTATTTCTAAAAGCAAACGAAGTCTCGAGTAAGCACTAGTGTCCAATATATTCATATTACACTAGTTTGCATATTCAGAGCTCAATTTATAGTATTCCGAACTTAGATTAGGGTGACGCCACTTGTTATTTTTGATGGGACAAATAAAAAAATAACAGTTATAGAATATTTATTTGTAACTAGCTGTCCCCACGACTTAGAACGTGGAATTTAACTTTATTTTTCTGAAAAAAAGTAGGCTAAGTTACTCTTTATTACATCAGCTACTTGCCAAAAAAAGTCCCGTCAAAACTGGTCCAGCCGTTTCAGAGATTAGCCCGAACAAACAGAAAGATAGACAGACAGACAAAAATTGTAAAAAATGTTATTTTGGTGTATGTACCGTATTTATATTCATATGCATGTAGTAAAAACGGTTATTTCAATATTACAAACAGACACTCCAATTTTATTTATATATATAGATTATGTACGTCTATTACAGACTCTTATGAACGTAAATCTACCGTCAGTTCGGAATGATATCGAGATGAGGAGAACTGACAAGAAACTCAGCTCGTATTCTTTTCAAATAAATGTTGTACAAGTTTACAATAATACAGATTCATTTTTAAATTCAAATCTGAGAGTGACCATCAGCATTCTTCTGAATAGAATAGAATATAAAATCATTTATTCAAATAAACTTAATTTAAGCACTTTTGAATAGTCAGTCTTCTTCTTCTTAATCGTTCCCTCACTGCTGAGGATCGCGACTCTACAGTATCTTGTCGACCAGCTGTCGCCATCGGTTGCGCTCAGACGCCTGGTGTAGTAGATCATCAGCATATGCTATTGCAAAAGTAGTCGTAACCCGAACAGACATTCCCCATAAGCAGCACCCGTTCATCCACGGATACGCTCCTTAATTTTAACCGCCAATACAATGAAATTCTTGTCTCTAATAGAAATATAGATATTTTCCATTCAACGCTGGTCCAGTTCCGGAGACAATTAAATTTCCACCGTAAAGAGACAAATTATATTTAACATTGTACCAATTTTCTGTTCTTTAATGTAAATAAAATTCTGTTAACATGATAATTCATTGCATTACGTAGTTATATATCATTTTCTATTTAGTTTACTTTTTATTATATAACCTTATCTAGCTATCTAGCGTATATTGAATGCGTCTATATAATTTAGCTCTTAGGCATACACAGTGTTGGATTACAATCCAGTTCTGTACCGAACTACACGCTCCTAATTATATTATTATATTGACTGTAATCTGTTTTGTATGCTAATAAATAAATAAATAAAAACCCTTCTACCAGCAACTCCTATTTTTTTATAGAACCGGCTATTGTATATATTTATACAGCTACATACAAACAGATTCATTTTTAAATTCAAATTTGGGAGAATAGAGTGACTACCAGCATATGCTATTGCAAAAGCAAATAGTTTGATCACAACAGGTACTACCCGTATATGCTACGAACACCGACAACTAATATATACAATATATATTATACTAGCTGTGCCTGCGACTTCGTTCGCTCCGCGCACGCAACGGAAGCTCTCAAATATAAATAATATTCCCCGTTTTTTATATTTTTCACTGATGCTTCGCTTCTATTGGTCGTAGCGTAATGTTATATAGCTTAAAGCATTCCTCGACAAATGGACTATCCAACACAAAAATAATTTTTCAAATCGAACCAGTAGTTCGTGAGATGAGCGCTTTCAAACAAACATACTCTTCAGTTTATAATATTAGTATTGATAAAATTTATCTCGTACGTTACGTAACGTGTAGCCACCCTATTTGAATCTCCCGCCGCCCCAGCATCAGGCCGGGATTGTATTCTATTACACGGGAAAGGATTTAGATGAGCATCTCCCCAGATCTATTTCATTACGAAAACTAGTTTTGTTACGATTTTCGCACGGGATTCTGTATACACGCGGTTTATACCGCGGTTTTACTGACGTGGTTTAACATATAAAGAGTTTTTGTAACTAGAATCAACAGGCTTACGGCCTGCCTGATGGTAAGTGGCAATCGTATTATATACTATACATATCACTATGAATATAAATAAATAACTCTATAAAATTAACACAGGGTCGTCTAGTCCAACGGTAATTGCAGTGGCAAATAAGCTCCCGGCCTGCCTGATGGTAAATGGTAACTGTAGTTATTTATAGGCGTAGCTATATGTATGGTAACATATAGCTACGCTTATAAATGAATAACTCTATAAAATTACCACAGGGCCATCTAGTCCAACGGTAAGCTGAGCTTGTGTTATGAGTAGTAGACAACTTACAACGGGTTCGATTCTTCGGACGGTACCAACATTTGTATCATGAGTATGATTGTTTATATCTGTCTGGCTGTATATTATATATTATATGTATATTATGTATGTATTTGCAATAAAAAAATCTAAATATTTATATCAGTTGTCTAGCACCCATAACACAAGCTCAGCTTAGCTTGGGACTAGATGGCGCTGTGTGAATTGTCCAGAGATATAATTATTATTTCTAGATGTTGAAAAACAAGCTAACGGCCCGCCTGATGGAATACCAACTGTCGTTGTTATATATTTTTTGCGATGTGTGCCCTCGCGAATCCGGGGCGAGACAGATTTCGTTAGTCTTAACATAGTATAAAGCAATGTCGCTGCGGCTGTCTGTTTGTTTATACCTTTTAAATTACACAACGGAGTTTCATTCAGTTTTCAGCAATAAATAGAGTAATTCAAAAGGATTTTATATGTATATTACATGCGTGTTATAGTATAGAACAAGGCGAGAAATTCAAAGACTTGTAATGCATACATGCGAAGTCTGGACGGGTCGTTAGTCATTACATAGTATAAAACGAAGTCGCTATCGGACAGACACCGGTCCGTCCCTATGTATGGTTAAATCTTTAAAACTACGCAACGGATTTTGAAGTTTTTTTAAATAGATAGAGTGATTCAAGAGGAAGGTTTATATGTATAATACATGTACACCCGGGCGAAGCCGGGGCGAGTAGTTATGAAAGCAGGTAGTGATACAAGTTATCTAAATATAGAGCGAGATAAACTAATTTGCTATATCAAATCTCGTTCACCGTTGATTGCATAATCAACTTAGTTATCACCCCGCAGGGTTGGTACAACTGTATACAGGTTTGCCACCCTTAAAATATTTAGTATCGTAACATGATGTCAGAATATATTTAATAGAATTAGGTGTTATTTTGCGGAAGTCCATTTCGCTGCTCGATGGATGTAGAAGTCTTGTAGCGGAATTAAACAACATAATATAATTATGTTGTTTAATTCCGCTGAGAATTAAACAACATAATATAATTATGTTGTTTAATTCCGCTACAAGACTTCTACGCTTTTGGGAGGA